TTACCGCTACAAGGTTGACGAACCCAGTTTCAGTAGATTTGTTTTTTCAAATGTATGTTCAGTAAGCCTGACATTTGAAAGGTTGAAGTTCCCTAGAATCGGGATATGAGCGTATTAAAGGTGAGTAGAGCGGATAATCCTCCCGCAATACGATTTTCTAACTCAGTGTCCTCAATGGACAATTTGTAGCCAACTATAACTGGATACCTCAAGGTGTTAAACAGCATTATACAAATTCATCGAGATTGATAAATTCCTGTGTGTACACTGGGTGGGCTACCAAACATGAACATAGGTAAAGGGCTACTCTGCCCCACGCTATCCCTGTTTTTCTGTTGTTGCGAAACAAAGACATACAGAGTACTGCTAGCTCCTGGTACGCAGTTTGAGAGGACGTTCATGGTTCAGAGATTCTAATCATATTAGTGTTGTTAGCATTTCTGAGTTCACTCAACTCATCCACATTTTCGGCAAATCCACAGCGTTCATATATAAGCAATTTATGCAGTCACTTTGAAACACGTGAGCTTCCTCATTCTGTTTATCCAAACGACCTTATGTGATTGCACGGGCAAGCTACCTACACTGGGATTTCCTGGTTATTATCCACTGTTTTAATGAACAGAATATCGTTCAGTTAGTCAGTCGATTTCTTGCTTTTTACCCCATGATTTTTAGGCTCACTTCTATCATTTCTGCTTGATTTTTGTGACGCCTAACTCCGCCTGTAGCGACTCTAGGATTACTGCCAGTCCCAAGTTCGAATAAAAGAAGAGAGTTGAGCATGGGTTTGACAACCCAATCTCGTACAAAGCAGCCTTGCTAAAAAACGCTAATCAAATCAAGAAATTAAACCATTTAAAATTTGATCTTTGAGTTGAAGGATTTTTACTTACAAGAATTATGACACCTCATGATGAAAGCCGAGATTCTTCCGAAGTCACGAGGGTGATGCCCTTCTAACAACCGGACCAACAATTTTTATAGATACATGGAATGTCCGGACAATGTGTGAGACCGGGAGGACCAGTCAAATAGCAACCTAAATAGTGGGATACAAATCGGCAGTGCTCGGAATCACCGAAACCTATCGGACTCAAGCTGAACAGCACAGGTTAGGTACGGGATTGATGCTGCTATACTCCGATCACGAAGAAGAAAATGCTCCAAACACCCAGAGAGTTACTCTAATGCTATCCAAAGAAGCACGAGATACCCTTATAGGATGGGAATCTCATGGATCCAGGATCATCAAAGCATCCTTCAAAACGAAAAGCGAGGAAATCACAATGGATTTTATCCAGTGTCATCCACCCACCAAAGATATCAATGACGACGGTACGGATCAGTTTTACGAGAGGCTGTAATTATTCATAGCGGAGTTCTCAAGAAGGGATTTGACAGTCTTGATAAGAGTTCTGAGCACCAAAGCTGTCAGAGAAGGGAATATCAAACAACTATATGACACACTGAAGAAACTGGTAGGAAAATATAGTAAACCATAAGGTAAAACACTTGGAGGAACTCTTGGATAGGTCAGCTTCTTTGTACTATTTAGACTTTGGTTAATTTTAATGTGGTTATTTATTCTTTGAGGAAGTGGCTTACACTGAGTCACGAAACGTCGGAAAGTCTAATTTTTCTACTCATTGGGATATTACGGACATGTTTTTTTATTTATAACAATCTACCCAATGCTCAATTTATCTGAAATTATCAAGTCAAACCTTGGTAATGATAATTAAAACCTTCCATGTATTCATTTCACTTAGGGTTTTATGACATTTCCATACACGAATTCATCTTGTAAATATGATGGAATTTATGGGGAGTATGAAGTAATTCAGTTTAACCATTCAATGAATTATTATGTAAGAACCAAGTAAGCGGCATAGTTGGTGAAAAAATCATCCATAAAGACTTAAATGGTTAAGATGATAGTGAGTCGAACATTAATTGATTAATGTGAATAGTATGGCAAAGAAAGGAGATCTCAGAGCTTGTAAGAACTAAAATTGCATCGCACTGCTATCAATACTAGGAACGTTTCCAACAGTGCTATTGAACCGGGTAGAAGGTTCATAAACGTCAAGCTTCTAGATCAACAGGCTGGATTCCATAAGGATCGGTCGTGCACAGACCAAATCGCGACACTACGGATCATCGTCGAGCGATTAATTGAATGGGACTCGTCACTACACATCAATGTCCTTGAGTATGAGAAGGCGTTTGACAGCGTGGTAACGTCTTCGACACCATGGTGTGCCTGAGAAGATCGTCATCATTATCCGGAACTCATACGACGGACCACAGTGCAAAGTCGTGCATGGAGAACAGCTGACAGATGCATTCCAAGTAAGGATCGGCGTCAAACAAGACTGCTTACTCTCCCCCAATCTTCTGGATTGTGAAGACCTTCACATCTCAGAGGAAGCACGGTATACATTGGACAGCTCGGAGTCAATTAGAAGATTTGAACTTCGCAGATGACCTGGCCCTTCTATCCTATACACACAAACAAATGCAGACGAAGATAGCTAGTGTAGCAGTAGTAGTGCTTAACATACACAAGGAGCAAAGCATGATCCCCAAATACAAAATGGAGGACACAAACCGAATAATTATAGATGGGGAAACTCTGGAAGAAAGGGATGCTCTCGCATACGCAGACGGCATCATCGATGAAGAAGAAAGATCTGATGCACACATAAAGGCTAAGATTGGCAAAGCAAGGGCTATAATTCTACATTTGAAGAATATATGGAACTCAAAATAAAGCAATATCAAAGTGAGGATCTCCAACACATACGTCAAGACCGTTTTACTGTACAAAGCTGGAACGTGCAGAACTACCACAACCGTCATCAAATATGTTCGAGTATTTATAACTAGTTTTCTACACAAGATACTCAATGTTGTTTTTTCATGCTACATGCGGTGATTATATTAATTAGTGGACCAAAATAGTATGGCACTAGTTCCCAATCGATTGGAGATTAAATGAATCGCTAAATGGTATTCTTTTCTTTTGTGATATTTGAATCCAAAATGTTTTGCAATCTGTTTGTGTTGACTAAATTTAAATGATTGGGTGGTGTTTCTAACTACAACACATTTTCGTCCATTGAATTTCGTTTTTGAGTTTATTGTTCTTTAGTTATGTAAGAATGTGTGAGCTAACAGTAGGTTTATTGGAACAGTCATATCTAATTTTTTTCATAATAATACAATTTATATATTCCTTAACCGAATTCTTGGTTTTATTCGACCTTGGATACTTGCTAAGTACACTTCTGAAATTTGAGTTTTGTTAATTTTTACCCGTAGCCTACATCTATGTAGTAATCACATTTACTTTCAGTGAGTTGCATCACCTCAACGGATATAACACAACCAATCATCAGAGAGATTCTGGTAAATCTAACAATGATCGTAATTTGCCTACTACCTCATATACTCAACCGTCAGGACCAACTTAATGTAAGAGAGGACGAACCAGTTTCCAACTGTAGAGGAAATAAAGAAAAGATGTTAGAAGTGGATAATACATATATTACGGAAATCTGATACACATAGTTCCCTTTATCATTTTGAAAAAAAGTAAGAGCAAACATTTCAGCAGAATAGCATGAATTCATTTTATTTCGTAGATTTTTGTCACCCGCTTACAACTTGTGATATTCAAAATCATAATTACACAATGGGTTTAAATTGCTTGCATGAGAGGTTTGATGGATGTTACGGAAATCCTCAAACTTCACCGCGAGGTAAGCCACAAATTCGAAATCTTGTAAGGAGACGGAAATGGGATGGGCACGAACACACTGCGCTGAGAACTGATGGCAGACATGAAAGGATGAAAAGCAACTGGAATAGATTCTCCAGGACAGGGTTTGATGGAGAACGTCGGTGGATAGCCTATGTTCCTCCATGAGGGGTAACAAGCATAAATTCCGTGAGGTTTGTTTAACCGTTTAAGAAAATCAGTTTGGAGTTAGAATTTAGTACACAACACAAGGTAAGTTTGTTTCGTTTTGCAGGATTAATTATCTATCTTATATCACTTGGCTGAGCATGACGAGTTACAAGCTGTAAAGTTGAGTTTGAAGCTATTAAATGATGGATGTCTCCGAACTGATCAACTACTACTTCTAATGAAGTTTCCCTGTCAGTGCAATAATGTTGATGTTCAACCAAATCGTTCGTCTATATTTTTGTCAAACGATGGCTCACTAAACACTGAACTAGTCAACGAAATTTTTCAAGGACAGCAAAAATATGTTAATCAATTGTAATCCATTAACTAGTCCATTCTCCAGTGTTCTTGCTCTGTATACCTCTCGTGTGTACTCTCTTATAAGCAACTTCATAATTCTGGTAAAGTTCCATTCGTTTTTTTGCAGTCACCAAAACATTCAAATTATATGGATATCATTACGGAGTAATCCAAACTAGTCACAAACTACGATATTCATGTTCAATGTAAGAGTAAGATGTCGCATATTTCCCGTTCAACTGAAGTGCATTCACCACCAATATTGGTTGTCTATAATCGGAAAATCCCAAAACTTTCCGCTAATTGTATGGTCACCTCAAGCTGATAATAATAATTCTTGTACAAAAGTGGCTCACACGGCACTGAAAGACATGAGCGTTTAATATTAGGAAAAATTATGATGAAACAGGGCACTGAGAAGAATATACCAGTGGCCACTTGGGATCGAAAACTTTCTCACGCTATGCTGATTCAACTTCTGGAAACAAGCCGGCGTTATTTAAAAGTGAACGAAATTAAGTAGTTGATTTAACAGTATAAGCTAACTAGACAGTTTCATTATCTAAAATTTTTCAAGAATGTATAGTGAGCCTTCTCCAATTTACAGCATTTTTTCTGACGATATTTCGAAGATCATCAAGTCATCAGATATCCCTTAGGTTAATATATATTATGTGACCCACAATTTGTTTGTATTGAGTAATGTATTACCTCGACTTTGTGTACTATTTTGAATATTTTACGTAATGATGTGGGGTTGGTGTGTTATTTATTGAATATATATATCGTGAAATGACCTTGTACTCCTTGTTAAAGCTTTTAAGGGCTGAACTATATTGAAAATAAGTCTATTCATAGGGTTGATAGCGGCATATTTTCAAAAACGTTACTAAAGTGCCAGTATGTACATTCGTATGCATGCCGATGGTCGAAATCAAATATTGAACAATATTTTTGTGTTCTTAAAGCAGATAAGAGCTCACAAAGTATCATTCGAAGAGTGTGGTAAATGATTTTCTTCTAAACATTCTACACATTGAATGAAAGTCACGAATGCTGTATTTAATACATTTTTCCAAGTCATGGAGATGTAACGCCAACTGACTCATCAGCGTATTCTTCATAAACGCCAGATTTCGTCGAAATATTGTTTTGACAGCTGCTCGACTACCATTTAAGTAGGAACAGATGTTTCTGAATATAGATTTACTTCGATAATGTATTGAAGAAATACGCCTCTATCACTGTTATTTATAAAGATCATTTGATGACTTTTATGAAAATTTTGTCCTCAGGTTTTTGCTTTTTTGAATCTTTTGCTAAAAAGCTGTGTATCAAGTGAATCTGAAATCAAATAGTTCATGTACATAATTTATTTCAGATTTGTGTGGTTAAGACATAAGGTCTACAGCCCATGTTATTCTTTTTCTAGTATGCTTCTATGAGTGTTTAGTATTCTCTTAAATAAATCAATTGGAGGTGAGAAAATCGTTTCTTCAGGTAACAGGTTACAAGAATTGATGACTCGCTTTCATGTCTACCGTCCATAAGTTAGGATTGGCCGGTGTCACTGTTTGACACACCGTCTCATCTGCGGACTTGAATAAGATGATTGCATAATTAAATCTCATCAGAGGTGGGAGGGAAGCTTAGATGAAAGCTCTGACTAAATAGCCCACTGTGTGACATAACACCTGGTGTTGTTATATTGAATGATGTATTCTATAAATACTACGGTTTGCTTTCTGTCTGAAGGCGGTAGTTCGTTCGGAAACTGCAAATCTCACGTGATGCAGAATGTAAATGGTTTAATAGGTAAGTGCAACGAACTCGCTAGAAATCAGAAATTGCTACAGAAATTGTAGATAAAGCAGATATTAAAGTAATTGCAGAAGACTTTGAGTCAATAAAGATAATTTTTTAAAGCAAGTGCTGAAATCTAGAATATTACGCTTACTCATAAGTTTAAGATTTCCGTCTTCGTATAGTTGAAGGCTCAACTCAGTACATACCAGAGCCATTGTAAACAAAAGGCAATTTAATAGTATGCGTGCTTATAAAATGTGCCACGATGTGTCGAAACTTCTAAGTATACAATACATTTACGCCCCAATATGTATTTTTAGATATCTTATTTAAGCAAAGACCACACGCTTCAAACCGGCATATTACTCAAGTTTTATTTGGTTACCGTACAAGACTATTTAAATTCATTGTTCAAAATATACATAAAGCGCCATACCGACGCAAATTGTTATCAAGGCTTACTGCGTAGAAAACAATAAAATAAGAAACCATCACTATAGCTGGGCAGAGAATCTTATTCGTTGAGAGATATACAAGGGTGCATTTAGGTGTTACTCATATACAGCAGTTTTCAACTGGATTTTTAGTCTTATTGCACTAAATTACTTGGTGTTTTCTTTATGTATTTTCAAATCATAAATATCATTACTCAGTTTACATTGGGAGTGTCATATCTTTTATTATGTTTGTTATATGAAATGACTTTTTGTACTGCAAATTATGGTTTTACGGCAGTTGTTGATAAGTGCATGACAGGACTGATTTACAGGGTGAAAGTGTAAGATTTTGTTTTCCAAGATGTTAAGCGAGGTTAAGACCTTTTTTGACTGCCTTCGGATCTGATCATTATTAAGTTCTCACGAAACGATAGCTCTTGACGTTTGAATCATTATCGTATTTTCTAACATCAACGATACAAGTGGAAATGATTTGTTTATATTGGTAGAAAAGAAAGAAACCACGAGGGAATTTATCGTTTATTAAGACGATTTGTTGGCATATTATATTAGACTATCAATATTGTTCAAGATATTTAAAATAACGAAAATTAAATTTTTGTCAGGAAGAAAAAATAATATACAGACAAATAAACGATGAATAGATTTCACTCAAAATGTTTAAATTGGTCTGTAAATGGATGAAGATTTCATTTCATAGTTATAATCAACATTTTGTATGCCAAACTAACTTAAAGCTTTTAAATATGTCGACCTGTTCATTTAAAATAATGGCGATGTTTAACATGAAAACATCCATTTCGGTGAATTTCGTGTAATATTTTGTAATGTGCTGGGGTTCATTAATCCCTGAAATAAGGTGTCATATGTTGATAATTATTATGAAATAATGCAGTGTATTTTGCAATGCTAAGATTTCGAACGTTGTTAGATCCGATGTCATATATTTAGTTATCCATTGGTGGCCGTCTCTTGAGGTAGTATTTTCTGAAGACTTTAATTAAAGGTTAAAACAACTTGATGCTAAGAGGCACTAGGATATTAAACTTCCGCTTTTTTAATTGCATGTTCATATTATTGTTTAGTTGATTTGTTTGTTTTTAAATTTAAGAAAATCACTATCGATATTTACATTTCATGAAATATTCAGTTGTAAAAGAAATATATCCGAGGGAACACTTTCGTTTCTTAAAATTCCACAAGTTAATTTTGGGATGAGATACGATGAAGATGAACTCCTTTAATCTTAGCTTTGTTATAAAGTCCTCTAAAATACATTAAAAATAATGAAGCATAATGTAAATAATATGCAAGAATTACAGTGGATATGAGGTATAGAATACAACACTGGTCAAAATAGAATAGAATTACTCCATTTTTCCAAGATCATGAGGTTTATGACGTATATAGTGTAGGGATCATATAGATACCACTGTTACGTGTAGTGATTAGAAGTTTATTTTGGAACTATGATAAAGTTTTTGTGGAGGTTTGCTGAGTGGTTTTAATTGATTTGGCTACATATAAATGTGCGCAGTACCAAGAACAGTTTTTCACTGTGAATAAACATGACGTTTCACTCTTACTTAGACTAGTTAGTTTACACAAAAATGTATACATATTCATATGATTCCAAACTAACCCGTTTCTTACTGCATTAAATACATAGTATTAAGTAATAGGCATATCACTATATATATTGAACGTTAAGTCCAATTTTCATAAACGTTTAAGTTAACTGATTTATACAGGTGCACGTATGAACGGAATTATCCGTACTCTGTTTTATTTTTAAGTGTTTTGTTCAAACATATATCATTTACTTCGTTTCGATAAAAGTATACTCACTTTATGTTACAGTTAACTATTTCATTATTTACCCAAGTACTATATGTACTTGTGTTTGTCTTCGTTGATTTGTTGTATTTACTGATGTCACTGATATTCAGGACTAAATTTTTAAATAGGGAAACTGCGTGGTGAACATAATTTCCTCCACCGTCTAAATATACCAAAGATAATTGAATGTTATCATTAAACAGTCTGTAAAAAACTTAAAATATTTCATCTCTTTTTGTTTTTCAGCCATATACAGTAACAAGATTTATTATTATTATATTACACTGAGTTATTCGATTGAACGTAGTTAAAGACGCATTCCGATGAGAGTTGCTGATCAGCATTCTCGATGCATTAATAATCGATCTCACCCACGTTCCTGTACTTCAGAATGCAGACAACGTGACAAGGATCTGGAAGAAGTAGGTATTCAGAATATGTTTTTTGTAAGACGTTTGAAGCGTTAAACTAAATGTTTCTATCGTAAAACCTTAATAATAGTCTACGTAATTTTTATATGTACTCCTACATTATTCTGACAATGGATCAATTATCAAAGTTAATAATGTAACACTGAAAAACGTTTTAAATATTTTGTTCATTTTAAACATCATATATGGGTAAGTTCTAGTCAAAAAATACCAACGCTTTTCAGTATTCAAATTTATTTCCTTTATATGAATCTATATAAAATATAAACCATTTTGATCGAACAAAGTATTTCATATAGAGTGACGCAAGAATAGTGAGGGCGTTTTGTTCACCCACAAGTATTTAACTATTCTAGAAAAATCCTGAGATCTTTGCTATTTTTGTTATTACTCAGTCATGTATCTGATTTTACCATAGCAATGTTTAATAACAACACAATGACTTATTAGTTTTGATAATCAGCATCCAAATTTGTATTCAAATTAGAGAATATGAACATCTTTTTACTTTCTCGACTGTGGTCATTCACGGCAATTATCTGGATTGGCCGATAGATGGGGAATATTTTTTATCTTGATATTTTATTCGAGATAAATGTCGAAAATAGTGATCAGCTAATTTAATTCAATTACAAAAATGAATGAACAGGTAAATCATTACTATTGTTGTTAGCAAATAACACACATAATGCTCAAGTCAATGAAATGACTAGAGTGGTCTTTGGAGTGCATTTCCCGATGTGATGTGAACAGGATTTCAGTTTAGGGATTTAAAATGGTTCAAAAATGTATTTTTTTATTACTGGACAAATCTATCAGTCCATGTTGATATATGTGTATTGTCGCATTATATATATATATATATATACGTATAAAAACATATTTTAGGACTCAAACTGTGATTTTTTAGGCTCGTTCACGTGCTACTCAACTTGAAAAAACGATGAGATGGTGGTCAGATTGTACAGCTAGCTGGAGAGAAAAATGGGCATCGTTACGTGACGAGAGAAATTATCTACGAGAGAAATTGAGTTCAACACAAAAATCTTTAGATGATGCAACGGAAATTATAGAGACGTTAAAATTGGAAAAACAACAATTACTTGAAGATTTTTATCCATCGAATAATCAACTTCATAAATATAATTCTATTTCAACTATGAAATCTACCATTAATCCAATTTGTTCAATGAAACAAGAAACTAGTCAATCAGGAATAACAGAATCGAATGCAGATCAAGATATGTGCGGTATGTGATTTTGTTGTGTGTGTTTCATATCTAACAAACTTGTATTATTTCGGCAAAATAATTGCATATGAATGAATTGGTTATTATCTTTAATGTTCATTAAGAAAAATTGCGTACTACAAACATAGTATTTAATTATCAAGTTGGCAAGTGAAAATAACAACCGAACTGCTTTCGAAGGCATTACTATGCTTATTCATGTAAATGGTTTTGTACCATGGGTTAATATAAATAAGGGATTACTGAATAGTAAAAAGCACTAGGGAACTGTAACGCTCTAGTTTAAAACTGCTCTACAAAGAATTTCTTCTTCTTACGATATACAATCAGAAAAATCTGGATCTTGCATTGACCATGATGTTATCTGTTCGCTGAGTTGAAGTCTAGAAGTTCACTTTTCCGAATACTCATCGACTTGTAATATGATACAAGTATTGTGCTGTGCTATCGGTAGACATTCGTCTTTATTTCTAACCAGTTTTAGAAAAGGAGTTTTTCTATGTTTTTTCTGAGCGATCGAATTATACTTTAATAGCTCAAGGAACTCAAGGTTTTGAGTTAAAATTGCTTTAGCAGCCATTGGGATAAAGTTCCAAGGATTCTTTAATTTGCATAAATTTACCTAAACTTCCCTTAGGTTTTAGTATATCTTCAATTAGTCCACGATAAAATTTACTGTCATATGACATATAACGATACAAACCCACTGAATTATAAAATGTAGCATTAGCCATGATGTTTTCACACTGTTGGAGAAACCGTAACCAAACACGTCCTGGCTATTAGTAGCATGCTGGTTCAATCTCAAAAAGGACTGAAGTTTTGTCATATTAGTAATTTTCAAAGTTAATCGAAATAAACTTTAAAATAATTTTAGTTTATGTAAACTATCTGAAATCATCGCATAATAAAAATTAAACTAGAAAATCTCGATAAATTCACTCGGTTTTCGATAGCTTCAATAAACTGGTTTTATGATCACGTGTAGTTTTTTTTCAATAAAACAAGCGCACACACTTTGTTTAAAAATTCGGTGTCTGTCCAAATTGACAGGAAAGAAAGATTCATTGGAAAGCCTATTAGGTCACTACTTATAACAAATCTCTTCCCAGTGTAACATTTTAATTTCATTCTCTCTTAATTTTGAGTGAAATTATTCAAGTATTTTTACTTTGTTGCTTTATATTTCAATTATTATTCACTCAGGGTTTTACTCTAAAATCAATTGCCAAGAGATTTGTACAGTAATGTAAGTGATCAAATTTCAATTTGAGCAAGAATAGCACAATTTGTCATAAAATAAATTATTTTTTAATGGCCTGTCATCAAAAGAAAGCGATATAAACGACCTACGTAGTTAGAAGTAAAAGTTTGGGAAACTCTAGTTAATGAAGCTGCAGAAAAAGTTCGAAGGGAAGATGAAAAGTTAGTAAAAAGTATGAAAACAATGTTACTCAGTGCAATTAAGATTAGAACATGTTTATGTAATGGGTGAAATTTATTTAGTTTGATTTTTCTTATCAAGACAAAGGCAGGTTGACCGTATTTTCTGTATATACTAGTCTAGTTAGAAATATTTGATGACAATGGGCCCTGTAAGGTATACTTGATGTTTGTGTATTATTTCTAAAGCCTTGATGAAATCTGCTTTAGTCCAATAACGACAAAGTACCTGATGATCGTGCTTATAAAGTTATTGTTTTATTTCAGGTATGGGTTTCAATGTTCATGTTCAGAAAAACTTCCACAGCCTTTTCGATTAGTTGCTTCTGAATACCGCTTTCACAATTAAATAAAAGTTCACAAATTTAACTGGCGATTGTTTAAGAAAAACATTGATCCACTTTTAACTCATTTAATGAATATTTGGTAAAGGAACCTGATCCTACATAATCTCAGTTTGTATCGATCTACTGAATTCCCCTCATTATACAAATCTTATTCTAATAACATACTTTGTTTATGTAACCACTTTTTTTTATCACAAGCATTATTATTTAAAATCTAAAACTTTCCTTAATTTGATATACATGAATAAACATAAGTTAAAAGGAATATTATCAGAAGTACTCAATTAGTTAATTTTAAAATATCTTCATTTCTCGATAAAAATAACGTTTAAAAGAAAAATAGAGTATGAATCTTCACAACCTTATACATGGGATGTACAATGGGTTGATAAGATTAATTGTCCTGTTTGATCAGTTCAAAGGAGTTGGCATTTTCATTTTTCTGGTATGAAGAAATGACTACTATCATGAATTTTCAAAAACACATAAACTACTTATATGGTTTTCACAACTAGATATTGTTTTTACTGACCATCCAATTCGGTACACATAGTGTAATAAGTAATTCCTTATGTTATTTTTATTATATATGGATCAAGTGTTTTTTAAAATGATCAGCATCACTGACTGATATCATTTTGGGAGATATTAAAAAAACTGAGGATCACTAGTGTTGTATCGTGTGACTGCAGATTAGACGCGCAGCGTATTATCGTTCGATTCAGTGACACGTAAACACGTACGGACGGCCTAGAGTCTCGATTGGTCTCGCTTCCTTAACTAGCCCAGCCAGTTGAGTCCAGAACATAAGTCTCAGCCTCTGAGTTATGAATCGTTATATTTCAAATATACTATGTTTATATACCAATCAACCAGGCCACATCGTACCATAAAATAGAAAACAACATTTGTACAATATTTGACAAATGAAATAAATATTGACCAATAGGAAATGTCCATTTAGAGTCCAAGGACACTATTAGACTTAACATGATGATTATTGGTATATTTTTCCGAATATCTTAACAACCAGAAAAACCGTCTTACTCTAGTTTGGGTCACATCTGAACTTCCATGACCCTCCTTGTCTAACACATGACTAAACAATCAGAATTTTCATTTGCTTCAGTCTGCACAATATAATTGCGATACTGAGTTAATGCTGTTCGATGATGCGAATTTGCGATTTCAGTGAATTTGTAATGCAGAATCAACTAAATCTATTTTCGTTGGTAGTGAAAAACCGTGCTTCATTACTGACTACGTTGACACTGTAGGTCCTGAATTTCTAGTGGTTATTTTTATGAATAAAGAATAAACTACTAAGAAGCACTAAAAAATTTTCAGTTAGTTATATTTATCTACGGAAAGTAAGTAGTATATGTACACAGACACACGATCTTTGAGTCTATTTGATTTACATTGTTTCTGTTTATTCAAGCTATTGAAAAACGAAACAGATCAAAAGATATTGGAAGTCAGTCAACTGGATTTTCACATAATAATCAAGTGAGTAATAGAAGTATTTAATTTAATTTTCTATAACTATTTTATCCTGTTTACACTCACCTCTACTATTCAAAGTGTTATTCACTAAAGAAATAGTGAAGTTGTGTTTTATTCAAAAACATAGTTTATTAATGTAGATGCTGAGCAATTTTATTTTGGTATTAGAAATGTGCTTTGCAAACGTGTTCTGCATCAGATACAGTATGGTAATTAGATTTAGTTCCCTGCTTTTGTTGACAATAATTAATACCAGTTTATTTGTCACAGAAGCTCTTCTTGAATTTTTGTCTGCATGACAGTTCAAATAAATGTATGGAGCCGTGACTAAATCAGTTAGCTATTTTGTTATGCTACCATCGAGTCTGTATATTAAATGCCGAGTTCTTATGGAAATTCTGACGAACTTTCTATGAAGAGTTAGTAAATCAATAATGACAACGCCCTATTTTTTTAAAGTCTGACACTCATTCTCTGATTATTTTTAGTCAGTGTTTCCCAACCTTTTCAATTTAACCAATGATGTCTGCCGATTCGATTCCAGTGATGACCATCGATTTTCATTGGTTCAGCTTTTCATCGAAAACTGAATTACATCAAGACATTATGGTGCTTTGCCATATCTGTAAACATGTGGCAGCATTTGGGTCATACAAATAGTATTTCGAAGATGTAAAGTGTAAAAATTAAAGTAACGACAATCTGAATTATCAAAATGCTTAAATTCCCCTCTTTTATTGACTTGTGGAAGAAGGTAAAAGTACATAAGTGAGAATATTTTTAAAACCCGACCGAAGCTGCTACCTTGACGCGGTGGTCGGGCTTGTCTATCGTGATGACCCAACCGAGCTATATTGGCTGGAACATATGTTCCTGTAGGTTCTACCATGCCAGGCAGGTCGATTGATGAACGGTAAGACTAAAAGCAGCAACTCAAGGTCTGAGGGCGAAGTCGTACTGCTGACTGTAGAGAGGTGTGACAGCAGTAAGGTGTTTCACACGGACAACCAGATTGACAGCGATGTTGCCTTCCCATAAGGAGGGGTGGGGTTAGAAAAGGTCGACCCTAAAAGTGTAACACCTCACCTTACCTCACGGATTTCCGTCTCCGGCGGTAAGGCCCTTTGAAGAACGGAGCTAACACGTTAAAAACCTTCCACAAAAACGCCGTGCGCGACCGGCCTCAAGCAGTTGTCCCTTGGGCTCTGCGGTCACGCTCCCAGGTCGTCAAAACCAACACTAATCCAATTTCCTTTTCAGGTTCCTCAAGGAACACCCTTCCACAGTGTGGGCAGCCGGGAAGTGATATCAGCCCTCATATCCGTAACAGCACACGAGACCAAGTTGGTCACATTCAAATCCTTCCTACACTTCCTAATACCTCTCTTATCTCCATGACTAACCCTCCTCACGTCTCTTTATCACCTAGCACCGCTAGGGCAAACGATTCGAGTACGTGGAACGCTATTCCTGGTCTCCTGAAATCACGCTCTAAACTACATGTAGGAGCTTTTAACGTACGAACACTTTGCCAAATAGGACAGCAGGCTTCCTTAGCTAGGACTTTAGAATCTCGCGCCATCGATGTGTGCTGCGTCTCCGAAACGCGCATACAGGATCCAAGTAGCGTCATTCATTTGACCTCACCATGCCAAAATAAAGAATCGACTCGATTTACGCTTCGTGTATCTGGAAGCCCTGATTCTGCTTCCCGTGGCCTCGCCGGCGTAGGTATAGCATTGAGTCCTAGGGCAGAACTAGCTCTCTTAGAGTGGATCCCAGTAGACAGTCGTTTGTGCGCTGTCCGACTGAATGGAACAATGAGGATCCGAAAAGATAGGGACACTCGTCGTTGCCTCTTCGTCGTCTCTGCCTATTCTCCCACTGACTGCAGCTCAGATGATGTAAAAGATGAGTTTTACGGAAAGCTTTCGGACCTTCTTCGAAAAGCTAAGCGCTCGGATGTAGTAATAGTGGCCGGTGACTTTAATGCTCAAGTAGGTAAACTAAGCGATAGGGAAAGACACCTAGGTGGATCTTATGGTGTCGTGGCTCAAAGAACAGATAATGGCAACCGTCTGTTGCAGCGATGCTCAGATAACCGCCTGTTCCTTGCAAATACTAACTTCAAGCATAAGGAAAAACATCTTTTAACATGGCGACCCCCTAATTCGTCCCAACGTTGGACCCAAATAGATCACATCGCTATCAGCCACCGATGGAGGGGCTCGATAGAAGACTGTCGCTCATTCTGGAGCGCATGCCTAGATTCAGATCATGCTCTAGTGCGAGCGCGTATTTGCTTGCGTCTTACTGGACGTACGAAAGGCGCTGCAAGGAAACCTCTTAGGGGCCTACTTAATGATAGTCAAGCTAAGAGTATATTTCAGGAACAACTAGGAAAACAGTTAGGCAGCCATATAGGTGATGCCCACCCTGAGGCAGCATGGAATGATATCCGAAAAGCTGTGGAAACAGCAGTGATATCTGCTAGTAAGGTAAACCAGAAGGTTAGGGAGCAACACTGGATCTCAGCAGCATCTATCGCACTGATGGATGCTCGGAAACTCATTCCACCTGGCTCTGAACATAATGAAGAGCAAAGTCAGTCTAAGCAAGAGCTGACAAGAAGTCTACGCAATGATCGCGAACAGTGGTGGGTAGCGAAAGCAAGAGAGATGGAAAAGGCAGCAGCACTAGGTAATAGCAGACAATTGTTCAGACTCGTTAAGGAAACCGGAATTAGGAACCCGACCGTTAGCGAAACAATCTCAGAGAAAGATGGACATATTATTCATTCTCAATCCAGGAGATTGGATCGATGGGCATAACACTTTATAGATCACTTTAACTGGCCTTCAGCCACACTTCGGTTTCCCACGATCTCTCGTCAACCTGAATGGCAAGTTAATGTAGGTCCTCCGTCCCTTTACGAAGTTGAAAACGCCATAGGAAATCTGAAGCGAGGGAGAGCAGCAGGCCCTGACAGGTTTACTCCTGAGATTTTTAAGGATGGTGGTCCAGTATTAGCAATGAGATTAACCGAGGTCTTAGGTAGAATTTGGGAACTGGACGTAATCCCATCTGACTGGTCTCAATCACTGATTGTGCCAGTCTATAAGAAAGGACAAAAGTCCTCTTGTGACAATCACAGAGGAATCAGTTTGACTAATATAGTGCCTAAAATATTAGCCTCAATAATACTTCGACGCCTAACTAAAGCTCGTGAAGAGTAGATTAGAGAAAACCAGGCTGGTTTTCGACCTGGACGTGGTTGTATAGATCAGATAATCATACTACGTCAGGTTCTAGAACACAGACACTCGTTCAGACGCCCCACAATGGTAGTATTTCTCGACCTTAAGGCGGCATTCGACTCTGTTGATCGTGAGGTTCTATGGCAGTGTTTGTCACTGAAAGGAGTACCAAAGAAGTACATTAACATTATAGAGGCTTTCTACTCGAACACAACTGGTAGAGTGAGAGCTTATGGCGAACTGTCATCAGAATTGATTACCTCAAGTGATGTTCGTCAGGACTGTCCACTCTCTCCATTCTTGTTCAACTTTGTCGTTGACATACTTTTAGAGATAACACTTTCCTCATCTAAATTTCTAGGAGTTGAACTTCTACCGGGAGATTCACTTGTTGACTTAGAATATGCTGATGACATAGTTCTATTTGGTGAAGACACTGACAAAATGCAGAGTCTTCTGACCACTCTAAGCAACAATGCAAGCATGTTCGGGATGCGATTCTCCCCCTCGAAATGCAAAATGTTGCTTCAGGATTGGGTTGCATTGACACCCGAACTAGTGATAGGGAGTGAAGTAGTTGAGTGGGTCGACCGCTTCACTTATCTTGGAAGTCTCATCAGCCCTTGTGGTCTGGTGTGTGACGAAATCTCAGCACGGATACAGAAGGCTCGACTAGCTTTTGTCAACTTGCGTCATTTATGGCGTAGGCGAGATATCCGTCTGTCAACCAAAGGACGTGTTTACTGCGCAGCAGTTCGTTCCGTCCTACTTTATGGCAGTGAAACATGGCCGATAAGAGTAGAGGATATTCGTATGTTACTAGTATTCGATCATAGGTGTCTTCGAAATATTGCTCGTATATCCTGGGACCATCGAGTAAGTAACACAGTTGTTAGGAAACGGGTACTAGGTAAGGATGGCAAACCAATTAATGATGTAGTGAAACTTCATCAGTTGAGATGGCTGTAACACATGTTACGTATGCCCAACGACCGACTACCTCGACGTGCGATGTTCAGTGGTATAGGAGTAGGTCGGAAGAAAGCTAGAGGCGGCCAAACCAAAACATGGCACAAATCCATGAAGTCACTGACAAGTGGACTGAGCCATGTTGGTAGGTGTAGACTACCTGGTTGGGGACCGCGAGATGATAGCAACCGATGGTTAGAGACCCTGAATGACATGACTCCAAATCGTTTGCAATGGCGCAGGTGCATCCTCTCTTTGTGTTCTCCCAGATTCTAATCTTCTGAATTATTCATGTCCCTTTTTCCCTCTTTACAAATTTATTTCACTGGATTATACTCTTTAAATAACATCTCCAAACCCTAATCTTCCCTATTACTGCTTATACTCTTGCTACTTCTACCACTACGGGATTTGAATCGACAACTGCATCTGTGTGCTAATGTGGTATGGCAACTCGAACTGATGTACGTACGTACGAAGTTCTACGTTGTTACTGACTGACTGACTGATATTTTTAAAAACTCAAAGCATGCAGATAAATGCAATTAGATCAAAAGTAGAAATAATGAAAATGATTTTCTTTATTAAAACAAGCAGTTCAAATACCCTGAGTGATTCTCAAAGAAATAAATCTACTCTGAAATTTATGTCCATAACCTATACGCGCAAAAGCTCAGTTTTGCTTTACACAGTTAATATACATAAAGTTAGTAAAATATTTCAGTTTACCTGTCAGTTTACCCGTCAACTTTTTTATTCTGAATTTAAAATGGTAGTTGTTAGCTTCTCCATTTCTTGGTTAAGTATTTTTTTGACTCTCTAGTTTTCTTGTTTTTATGTGTAAGTAAATTTATATGTGAACGCTTAATTTAGGTAGAAAGATACGATCATCGACAGTCCTGAATATTAACAATGGGAAATTACAAAATCTTTCTATTATCTCCATATGTAATGAACAAGTTAATGAGTATCTAGACCCATGTAGCTTAGTGAGTAACGCATCAATGTGGGAAGAGTTGGGCACTAGGTTACAATCTGAACACTGAAATGGAAGTAGATGCGGCTGACATGTTTCTGAAAGGTCGAAACACACTCGCTGGTTTCCACTGTTAGTTACATGCCTGATGTACTAACCTAAGAAGTTGCTATCAATTTCTTGATTTTTCTTTTATCGAGTTTAAAAACAAGATGAAGGTTGTTTTGAGCATGGACTATTGGTGCCAGATGAAAAAGCATTGAAAACTATAAAGGTACGAGACAATTATTGGATACCAACTTTATTGTTGTGTGGCAAATATAGAAGAAATTCTAACTCTTGGGACTAATTTATGATTTACTATTATTCGCATTTTGATTACATAGTAGATAAGTGTATTATTGAATTAATATACTCTCCCTATTATAAGCTTCCAGCAGACCTATTGACATTTATTATTAATTATAAACCGTGTGAATCGCTCTCTACAACTTATGACATGATTGTAAAGTATGGTACTCTAGACACAACACATCTAATACACATTGGGAACAATCCAGATATCAGCACACAGGATCTGGGAAAAAATAACGTAAAATAAAATTCCCCGATAGGTAATACAGGATGGATTGGTGTAAACTATTTTAGATACGATTGGATGAAGGAATATGAAGATTGTTCATTATAAAGCTGATATTCATCACGGATAAGTATCAACTATGTATTTGTTATAAAAAAAAGACCATAACAAATATATATTTAGTTCGGATTTAAAATTACATGCGAGTGTTCCCATAATATTATAAAGTCCAGACTTCAATTTTATATGGATTCATAGGTGCATACTATTGTGTGGTTGTAGACTAATCGGAACATAACTATCTGATACTGCTTAAAAACTTATCTAGTCAAATACTTTTGTTATCATTTCATTTTTATTTATTTATCTTTTTATTAAGAAGTTAAACAGTAATCTCGGTAACTCAATTAGTTGCTTATACTAATTCTACGAAAGTGTATAAAAAGGTTTCAGTATTGCTTTCATATTCTGATAGCCAACCTATTGAACATGCTCTTGAAAGTTTCTTGTTTTAAAGAAAACTTTTAATAAATTAGACGTTTTTGAAGAAATATAGTCATCTATTTACTACTACGTATTTTTGCGTATCTATTTCAATCCTTAGCCTATAAGAACACAATTACTGGAATTGTCTTCAACAATCCGTTGGTGGAAGAATCAATGTATGAATTTAGAACAGGAGGTAAATCATTATGATTTCTGAATAATTTATTCATTTTTCTTTTTATTAAATTGGAATCTAAAAGTTTTGTTCATAATAGATATCAATTAGTGCTTAGTGTTTCTTTAATAAATCTGAAATAAAAAAGCACTGATTTGATAACTGTTCATCTTAATGAGAAATTAACTTCATTTCTACTAAATTAAATCGTGGCTAATTTTACCGGTTATTGTGATACTTAGAAGCATTTTAAAGCCTGTTTTTTTATTTAAAGAAAACATTTTATTTAAGCTAAAAAGGTAAGTAATTTTTTAAAAGTGTGGAAAATTTTGAGCAGTAATATTGAAGTATCCTTTCATGAAGTTCATATGCCACGATAGTCACTGATCACATTCTTCCTAAAATATTAACATCAAAAAATGAATCGTCTTCATTACATACATATAAAGTATTAGATATTCAAAATGATCAAATCAGGTTAAGAAAAAAGTAAATTTTTAAATTAAAAATAACACATAAAAGTGAACAATATGGTTTCCATTTAGATCCTCATTAAGTTTTACTCTTATAAACCGTAATATTTATATGCATATATGAAAATGTTAAATCAATCAAGGAAGTTAATGAGTTAGCGATAACATTGAGACAAATTATATGAATAAACATAATAAATGAAAACTATAAATTGGGCGAAGCTATAATCGGGTTTAGCACAACAGATCTTGGATTTTGGCAGAAAGTTTATTCATACATTTGGCTAACTATCATCTTGGCCCTTTAGCTGGTGTCAGTTTGTGATGAACACCCTAAATATTATTCCTAACCATTAACTGTAGATGATACTCTCAATTCATCAAACTGATTTATAACCCACATTTAGCCCTGGTGAGTAGATGGACATTGGCAGTGTAAAGGTCACTTAAGCATCGCTCAAAAGTCGTCTATAAATTAAAGCCTCATCATGAATTGTTATTAAAAAAAAAACAAATATACTAGTAGTGATGAGAATGAAAGAAATAATAAAAAACTAAACAAATTTTTGGGAGTGCAAAGTAGGTCGAAACTTGAGAAAATAGTTGAAGAAAATTAAAATGATCAAACTGGTGTAGTAAACATGCAGTTAATCAGATAGTGAAGAAGATATGCGAAAGGGCGGCGAAGTAAAGCAAAGAATACGAAGAAATTAGTTAGACTGTTTATCATCTTATCAAACCAAAGAAGATATCTATTTCTTCTGAATAAATAGATTGGGATTGTTAATTCGAATCTGTTAGGATGTGCAGAAAAATATACCAATAATTGTCATGTTAAGTCTAATGGTGTCCTTGGACTCTAAATGGACATTTCCTATTGGTCAATATTTATTTCACTTGTCAAATATTGTACAAATGTTGTTTTCTATTTTATGGTACGATGTGGTCTGGTTGATTGGTATATAAATAGAGTATGTCTGAAATATAATGATTCATATCTCAGAGGCTGAGACTTGTGTTCTGGACTCAACTGGCTGGGCTAGTTAAGGAAGCGAGACCAATCGAGACTCTAGGCCGTCCGTACGTGTTTACGTGTCACTGAATCGAACGATAATACGCTGCGCATCTAAATCTGCAGTCCTACGTAACAACAGAATCCCCACAGCTTCTGGCATTTGTTGGAGAGGAGATCAAATCCAATTATGAAGGTGATTACTTGGAATGCATTAGTTTTACCAAATACATGACGACTGTTAATGAAATAAAGCTACATCTTGTCTTTATTTGACCGTTTTTAAACCATGCAGAGCGATGTTCACTAATTGTTTGGTTAAGTTTATTAGTGCTATGCTCAATATAATGTTCTCCACAGTAGCAAGTGAACTTGTTGATGCACATCTAAGAAGTGAATTCAAACAACATGTCCCTTGTTTGAATAAATATCAGTAGTCGGCTGGAAGACGACGAAGATTAACTGGATAGAAATTCTGCTCAACCGCTCTCAATAGTCTATTATCTAAGACATCGTTAGCTGCATCCAAGTAGAAGTGTATTGTTAGAAAGAGGAATTTCTTTTGATCTATTGATATATATTAAACTTCTTATTCACTGTACTCACGTGCTTCTACAAAAGGACCTAAGGGTGCCGTATTTTGACCAACATATCGTTGATGAACTAGAACTCCTTTACGGTGTCGTCTGAACAGATTATATTTGTTCTGTTTGTAAGTCATCTAACTATATTTTTTTCATAAAGAGTGAGTGTAAGATTAAGTAAGTAAGTGCGTTGACACACAAAGGATCTCTTTCTATACACGCTTTTGCTTAACAAGTCATTGATTTATTAAGACGTCGAGAACATGAAATGTGTTGTCAAATTCTTTCTCACAGGTGAATGTGATCTTCGAATCTACATTGTTGAATTGACTCAAGAATTCTCTATTGATATTCATATAGAAAATGGTAATTGTATCGTCGATATAATGAAAGTGTAAATCGAATTTCTCGTTCACTTCCTATAGGGTTCCACTCTCTAGTTTGGTTAGAAAGAAAGTAACTGAAATCGGGCTTCAAGATGAAGCCGTAGCTGTTCAGTTAAATTGTCTATTATAAATATTGTCGACGAAAAAGTGGACATTCGTTTTATGCCTGAAAAGCAGTTTTGCAAGACCATGTTCAGGGAAGCCAATGTCAATTTTTTTTCTGATATTTGTTTGCATTTAAACTCAATTGTGAAACACTGGTGAATAAAGGTACGATATCTAAATCAGCCATACGTTTTTTACAAACATTTGCGTCTCCCACTTTGATAATGAAATTAAAGACATCTTAAAAATTTCTCTTAACAACTGGTTTGTGCAGGAGTACTAGGTTTCAAACTCTCCATCTGACAGTTTTGTGTTGTGAAGAGCAATACGCATATTGTTCATGCCAAAATAAAGCCTGATGGTGATCTAAATAAAAACAATATTGTCTGCTTTCATATGTTGTTCTAATTAAATTTTTGTCAGTATTAAACTAATTCTTGAAAGTCATTGTTTAAAAAAGGGATGGTAAAAAAGTTTCCATCTATGTTTGGTAAATAAACAGGACACAAAATTGTGATGAACGCAAACATACACATGTATACGCATAAGTATAAGGACAAATCAGGATAGAGAAACAGAATGAATAGTGTTTGTTTAAATCAGCATGGATTTTGTCGTCTTTTGCTTCGTAGAAAAAAGACAGATTGTTTCCCATGCCATTAGGTTGTTTTTAAGAGAAAGACAGTACATTTAAGCGAATAACTAGTAGCAGGATAGGGTGCTGAATTCTAAAAATTACCCCTATGTTTCTGAGGGTATGATGCATTAGTTTCCGATGCTTATAAGTATAGATTTTTTCTTTGACTGACATAAATAGGTAAAAATCTTTCAGTGAACAGGCATTAGACGTATAACATGTTAACATATAATATTTATGGGAATGATGTTATTCAGATGAATTTTATTGACTATTACTTTGACTGATGAAAATAAGTTACGCAGACATGAACTAGCTATTTTATTCATCCAGTATATTTTCAAATTTTCTTACTGATCGCTTTACATATAACCTTCGCAACATGTAACTAGAGGTTTCATACATACAAATGGTACTTAAGAGGTTGTCATAATACGTAAAATAATCTTATCATAAATTGTCATTCATTGTGTTTCAACTCATTTATTAGGTTGTGTCATCAGACAATCAAACAATATTCCTTAGTGGTAATTTTGTGAAAGAGCTCATTATTTAGCTAGAGTTTATTTATATTACGCCACACTAGAATGGAACGATTATGTCTTGTATGATCTAGCGTTATTAATGGCAAATAACTTTATGATCAGTACGGTTTTAATGTTATTATAGCAACAGCAGGGAAGTAATGTGTCATTGTTAAACATACTGATTAAAGAGTTAGGTTTTGTCCGGTATATTTGTAAAACCCACTATTTTACAGGGTAAATTCTTAAATCATTCGTCCAAAAGTTGTTTATTTAGATGATTTCTAGTGACCAATTAATCACAAAGATAAGTTACTTGACGGACTTACAACAACAAAAGAACCATTGAAGATTATGGGAACATTAGACGGCTACTTTTGTTGTGATTTTGAACTACTCACTTATGAGCATTTAAAATCAGTCTTTAATGTATGGTCTGGTAGGTTTGAACTTCTAAAGTTTCACAAATGATAATGAAATAACTCTTAAGTCCTCATTGATTCTCCACCGATTCACCAGCTGATTTTATTCTGAGACAAAAACTATTTTCAAAAAAATATAAGTTCAGTATCAAAACGTAGACTGAATGTAGAGTGATAATTTTCTGCTTTTCTACACTTATGTGTATTTTTAAAATAAAATTTATCCTCATAAAATTCGAAGCTTTTCAACTTTCATTCAAAATAACCTTTAATCTTTTAATGATAATATTCTTTTATTTTAATGATTGATGAAGATTTTTCATCAAATATGATAATGTTTTTAGATTTTATTATTTAGAGATAATCAGTAGCTAATTATTGTCGGGAGCTTTATTATGACAAGATAATCAACATAACAAAGTACTACACTTACTAAAGTATTTGAACGGATGATTTTCTCACGGGACAGATACTAAAGTCTAAACCCAACTGATTTCAATCAACACAATCTTTAGTTAAATGGAACAATTAAAACTATTATCCATGCAAAAAAATATTTAACTAAATGCCATTGCAAAAAATAGTTGTTTGATAGAAGGTAAATGAAGATCATAGGCGACTAATCAGGCTTTACTTATGTCTGTCGTACCAGCGATAAGGGATATGCTTTACATTTCATTTCACCAAAATGATAATTTGATAACGTTTCGTGTGTCTACTACTTATTGATGTTAACTTATGTTTGTGTAGATTGGGATGAGACTAACGTCTACGAAAATTATTTTAATGCTATCATACTCAGTTTTCTTGAATAAATGACTGTAAGTCCAAAAAACTCGACAGTTACATATTTGTCTAGGAATTAAATAGATTCACAATCAAAAATAATATGGTTGATTTATTGGCGATTATAAGCACATTGTAACAACGAATGATTAGAATTGTTTCAAAGATTTTGTGAGTTGTATACTTCTGTGGTGTGTGCCACTTATGTTGACAGATGTAAGTAGTATGTAGCACCAATCAGAAGTGAAATGCCTGGAAGTAGATGATCGAGAAGGTATAATTGATGAAAATATAAACAGAAAGTAATTGCAGTAACAACAGAATTGAAAGTCGTGAAGCATCAAAACGACAACTGAAGATGTGCAAATATTGTATTTAGTCCATAGTTTTTATATTTTACCAAGACGCTCTGTAATTTTACGTAAAACAATGATTTGATTATCACCAACAAGTCTTCGTTCACTAGATTACTTTCGGCGTATTATAGTAGGGAACAGATTAGCTAAGGAAATTGAAGGAAATATTTAACTCTAATGTATACTTTTATTAGTCATGTATTGTGTGATCTGTTGTTTTAGATTATTTTGTCACTCCCTATTTTAAGTTAAATTAACTCGTTGGAGTCAGTCAACAGACGCGTCTTGACATACAGCCATTCTATTTACCTGTGAAATAAATATCTATTATTCAAATTGTCAAAGATTAATTTCTCAAAACAGTCAATAAGGATGTAAACACATATGAAGATAACAAATATCTCTGAATATGATCAATCACTGTTACTGTTTTTAGATAAGAATGATTCAACGGTTCTGTTTGTAATAATAGTTAACAATCTTGCCCAATAGGCTTCGTAATTAAATCATCCATAACAAATAACGTAGTACTATTATGTTTAGTTAGTACTTAGCGTCAATAGTTACAATTTCAAATAGATTTCACTTGAGACTATTGATAATGGTACTTTGCATTACGAGTTAAATTTTGGTTCAAAAGAACATAGAGACAATGGAAGATTAAAAGAGAGTAAAAGGTAGGTAACATGAAAAATAAATTATTGAGTGATGAATCGAGTATTTCATATACATTATGAATCCATTTTTATTCAATTGAATATACACATTGGAATAAAATGTTTTTGGTTTCTTTTTTTCTCATTTACGACAGATTCACCATCTGTTTGAATCGAATACTAAACATTGGTCGAAGTGTAAAATTTTATCGCATAAAAATTTTCTACTTTTGCAAGAAAATGATCTTTTAAGAAAAGAAATTTCTAATCTATGGTGTATTCGAGATAATCAACATGATGAACGCACTGATCCGATTTCTTGTACAAATAATTATGGACCACAAGGTAAACAATAGAAAATATGCATTGAATGGTAATGTATAAAGCATGATCAGTAATAATATGAAAAAATTTTCATTGTCCATGATATTACAGTATCACAGATACTAACTTAATACAAGCTACGATAAGCGACTAGTCTTATTTGATAGTTGATACTAAAAGACTAGCAAGGATGCCACGATTTCCTATTAATTGGAAATATCGAATTTTTGATTTGACGTTTAGGGGTTTCAAGGATAACGTTCTCACCGCCAGACTCGAAGCTTCTGAGGATGAATACATACTGCTTAAACGTTTTAAACTAGGATTTGACAGTTCTGAAGTGCTCTTGATCCATTTTATCTGACATCATTTGATGGGTAACACAGTCTCAAAGTTGAGCTTATCTATACAACCAAGTAATGTGTCAACTTATGACTAACTTCTAAATAAATTTCCATAATTCCTAAGAAAAGGCTCAATCCAGTTGATTCAAGGTTAGTAAAAATTAGTCAGGCATAACTAATGGGACTGGATGACAGTCGTATTATTTCACGAATTCTTCGACTTTGAAAATATGAATCATTCAGTTTGCTATTCAACATCCAAATATGCTATGTTCACCATAAGACGTAAACGTCTTGGCTTCGATCCAAAATGAAGTTATAAGTACAGGGTGCCGACGAATCTCACACTAAGATGAAACAACTCTCTAGTGCTTCACAGTTTTGAATGCTTCTACATCTATGGCTGTCCCGCAGAAAAGGAGTTCAATTATATAATCTATATTACTATCCACGATTGTTGTTAAAAAAGCAAACTCGTGGTTTTATCAATTGTTGTTTTATTGATTATTTTCATGTTTCAAGCTTTTATAAATCAAAGTACTTTAGAGCTCTTGCATTCAATCAGCTCATATTCTGATGAAAAACTGATAAATCATACTACTTAAGCTCATAGAATAGCCACTTTTCAGTAGTAATATCAATCAACGACTAAATGCATCCTTAGACAGGGCTCTGTATATATTCAGCGAATTTTTTCAGCTTATTTTTTTTTACATTACGCTTAATAGATATTATTAAACATGAATTAAACTTATGACTTGTTGATAGTTTTTTTCTGACACAACATTGAGATTCTTTCTGGTCATTAATAAATTAACAGCCTAATGAAGGATGTTCAATTCATATTTGTGGCTATAGTTGATTTATAATTGCTACAGTGTACTGATCTAAATAATATTTTGTAAATCTGTTCAAAATAGAAATATACAACTGGAATGCAGAAATAATAAAGTATTTCATATATTTTTTATTCAATTAGTAAAACGTTTCGTTTATTTTATACATATCCATACATGAATAATTGCGGTTTCCTATTTACTACCGAATTATTTGTTACTTTTCTGATATTTGATGAAGAAAAATGCTTTCTGTTTTATCTGTCACAAAAGTAGATTGGTGCATGGTAGTTTAATCGATCCTAATTATGATTATTGGTCATACTGCGTATGGTGTAAAAACGACAGTAACATATTATACCTAACTGTCTGTACTACTAATGACCTTCATAGGATTTATTTATGTTTAAAACCAGTTTTCTCTACTACTTTCCTAGCTTGTATTTTTGTTCAGAGAGAGATACGAATGCACTTTGTTTTCTGTCAAATAATATTTTAGAATACTGTTTGATTCAACTACTTTTGTGTTGTAGGAAGTCATCGATTGTTTGAAGTTGGTATTAGTTAGAAAACTGTTAGGCTAGTGAAATTAAATGACAAGCTATACATAGACATTCTGTTGTTTTATAAAATCTTTTGGTCATTTGTGAGAATATTTTACTTGACTTCGGTTAAAACTCATGAGTTATTTTAGATAACATCAGTGATGGATCAGCAAGATTATTTCGTTGTGCAACTGGTTAAAATCTCAGGGCTATAGTCTTTTGGCACTATCCTCGGTGATGTTTCAGAACGTTTTTTAAACATGATATTTATTTGCTATATTTTAACTAAGCAATTCGATTTTATTAGTCTTTTACTACACCATATTGATGTATATTCATGTTAACAATGTTTCATCAACCCAATTCTTATAATTATGTTGAAATTTACCTTAAGTTCTGATTTTAAAGTATTACCGACTATATGCATCTGATGAAAACCAGATGAAATGAGAAGATAATTCCGCGTTATTCTTGTTTACTTTTCAAGTTATCGAAATGAACCTGAGCACTGTTGTAGTTCAGAGGTCAATATTTTCCGAATTCTTATTTTGATGGAGAAAACAGCTCTTATTTTTTGGTCTATATTATTATCTTTTAGAAAATAACCAAATTATTGATTCCTAATCGTTGTAATACCGATGTCGATTCGAAATGAAATCAATCCTAACACATTAATGTAAATTCTTGTTACATGCATCAGTGTTGTGGGATTTTTATTTTCTATACTGTATTTAAATTGTGGTTAACAGTGGTATCTCATTTGCGATTAACCAACTAGATGTATCCAAAATCCATTGCTGAATTTCATGATAAAAGTCACACCATGTACCTATGATTTCAAACGTCAACGACTGACCGATTGAATTCTCCATTTTTAACAACTGGTGATGTGATAAGTGTTTACAAATGTTTAGTCTGCTTTTGAAAACATTTATATCATTCATATCAATAAACTGTTAAAACATCGTATTTATAATGTTTATTTTTTCAGTAGAAATATGTTCAAGTGATTAAACTGAGTACAACAATGACGGTTTTCAAGACTAACATATATCACTGAATATATTTATAAGATTGATTAGAAACTAATATGTTGAACTACTTAACTGTTGACTAGAATTTACCCATTTCAGTTTTTCAAAATGGGTTGTCCTAGTTAGTACAAAATAATCAATGTATTCACTGTTGATTATAATGGTTACTGATATGAAATAGTTATGGAAGTTTATTCAATAAGTCTTAGTGATGATTTGCGAATACGCTTTTGGGAATTTAAAAGGTTTCATATCGATAAATGTGTATCGTTTCATTATATATATATATATATATATATATATATATATATATATATATATATATATATATATATATATATATATATATATATATATATATATATACTTGTGATTACGCAATAACTGTTGTCATATGCACTCATTTTTGTGTTAATCGAATCAGAATTGATCAATTTACAATTTTCTTTTTTTAGTTTTAATGACTTATTGTTGGTTGCAGTAAGTTTTCGGAGTTAATTTATCTTCCGAGTACCCTCAACCAATATATATAATAGCATAACATATTACACGTGATTTATTGCTTTGTACTTTAAACGTTTACTGTTTCTTCTTATTTGTTTCATTTCTATTTATTTTAGCATCAAATGAAAACATTGAGTGTGGTACATGCAAACAAAATGTTAGTAATCTTTCTTTACTTGTTGTTTAATGTTTACGTTGTTATAAATAAGTGTTTTTCTCGTGAAGTATGAAATTATTTAAATAATATAACTTCTAACTATAGATTGTTAGGGGAATGATTCAGAGCCAAGAGGAACACTGAACAACGCTTTTCATTTACATTGAATGTATACGATTGAGAAATTACAAACGAGATATTGTTCATCCGTTCTCCAAGCAAGCTTAATTTTTAGTACAGAGGTAATTACAAAAATGTACAAATATATTATCAGAAAACTATCCAGCATGGGTAACGTTTTTTAATTACTTTAAAGAAATGACTTATATTAAGTCACGAAACGTCAGAAATACAATTTTTTTACTCATTAGGATATAACAAAATCTATATTTATTATTCAACGTATAGCTTGATAGATTGATTGCTTATTAGGTAGCATAAATAATTTGTGAGTGGATGGTTGATTAGTTCAAAAATTTTATTTCTGCTCAATGAATTACAATTTATATTTCTTATGTAACTGTCTCAATAAGGTCATAATCTCGTGATCACATTAATACCTGTCATCATAACAAGTTAGACTTGGAGTTAGGTAAAACGTTTACACCCAGCTAATGAATTAGACTAGTTGATGCTTAATTTGCTTACTTTATTCAGTGATGAAATTTCTGAATAAATCAGAGTTAATGTTAACAACTTGCACTGATTAGCATGAAGTAAATGTTCACACACACACACATAACAGGTTTTGTACAGCTTGTACAACGTATTTTTAACTCATCGTTTTCAATAAATATGAAATATTAAGATAAATAATTTAACCAGTTCTCCTTCAACTTTCCTACATGATACATAATAAAACGAGAAAAACAGATTTAACATTCAGTATTATTGGTTAATAACATTAATTTCATAAAATGAATAATTGTTTACCGGTTATCAGTAAGAACAAAACTTGGTAGTGAAAATCTGTGACTCTTTCCTTTTCATATTTTAAAAACACATTTCATCAAGTATTTTAAGGCAATACAAAGTTCATTTTATGCTAGTTTGTTATACATTTAGATTTTGCAAAACATTTTTTTTGATTATTTCAATATTATAATCATAAAGGTACATTTGGTATTGTAATACCTGCGACTTAAGGTAATAGTGAGGCAATCCGTACATGATTCACATATGCCAATAAGAGAATGATCAATTACAGACCTGAACATCAAAGGGAAGATTCAAACAAACAACACAAAATGGATTTAAACTTCTCCCCATTGCACAAGTAAGTGTCCATCAGGACTCTGTAGCTACGTGGATAACACGATGGTGTTTGAAGCGAACGGTAATGGGTTTGAGTCCCGGAGTGTATATCAACTGTCTGATGCAGGTACTTCTAACTAACAAGTCCCAAATAGGGCTAGACACAATTCTTTGATTCCACTGCTAACCACTATCCATCTTAGCTGATAATCATGAAAATAGTTGTAAACTGTGTAATAGTGAAAAGTATTCCTACTAACTGACGGTGACTTATGAGCTCTTTTGCTATCGAAGTGGAGAATTATGATTTCAGAAACAAAATTCTACACATTATGAAAAGTGAAGTATTTGATCGATCAATAGTACATTACAATTGGTTTCCTGACGATTACAAGTCATTGTCATATGAAACTCTGGTTGTTTTTAAAAGTAATGTGTCTCGAATAGAAATAAGATTCTAGAAGTTCTTTTCTACTCACTGCTTGAATAAGAATCTAACTGAAGAGTTTATTCATGAGTTAGATTAATCAAATTTAAGTAATCTGTTAGCTTTCTAGTACAAATTCATGCAAATTTAATAATAACTTATTTTCAGTATTTACATAAAAGATACAATCTTTTAACGTTTTTGAACTTTCAAAGAAATTTTTGTTGCTAAAGAACCAACTTGTACTCATTGGTTAGTAAGTGTTTCTTAACATACTTTTCATTTGTTATCTTTCATATTAGTTAATTTTTGTATTTCAATAATACATTCGAGCTTTCATCAGAACATTAGTGTGTTTATTCTGTATCCTAATTAACCGACGTGATAGATTAAATTTATCCAGAAACACTTTCCTACAAAACGTTTTGTTAATTATATTCATTCGATAATGATAGCTTGAATCTTGTTCAATAAGTACTGAACTGTGGTTTCAGTAAATTATATTGATGATGATGTTGATGATACTTAAATGTCAGCTCGTTAAATTTCTTACAGTTTTAAACACTGATTGTAAAATTATTTTGATTTAAAAAAACTATGTAAATATTATCAATTATTTTCACAAACTTCTTTTTGTTTTCTAGATTGAAAATAGAGAAACATCAGTCGAGGATTTATTATTACAATTATCTGAAAGAGATTGTCAGCTAGATTTATTACAGCGTCGTTTATCTTTTATGTTACACGAACGTAGTGTACTTTGTCATCAATTAGAAGAAATGAGTATAGGAAAAGATAAATCCGAATATAAAGTAGGTTCATTAATACATGTAAATTCGTATGAATATTGAGTTAAATAAATTAATTATATTTTGTTTATTTATTCACTACTTACCAAACTATCACTTCAACAAACTGACATAATTAACAATTGCAAAGTAGATTACTTATATTCATGAAATTCAAATTAAGTTTATTTGTCGTCTATTTATAGATAGTTGGTTTGCTCAGACATATTTTATCACTGAATTAGTTCAGTTTGAGAACCGTTGATAACCCTGGAGGATTAACTCATTCCAGCCTGAACACATTTTCACGAACCACTCAATTAAATAATAATAATGATAACATATAGGCTTTTAAAAGTACTCCCAATATTCTAGTGTCTTTCACATTTGAAACAAGCCATATGGAGATTCAAACAGTTGTCAGTGACTCCACTGAACGATGGCGACCCTACACTTCAAATCATCAGAAGTCGAGAAACAGGACCTTTGAATTTTGGCTCACCTGTCTAAAGATATTGTGATCATTCCAATATAAAAATATCTTGGTTTTGGCCTTGTATTTATCATGAGCGTACTCTTCTGTCATCTGATCTATTCAACATTTAGTAAAGAATATAATTGGAATGAAAGAGGGAAAAATATACACCAACTAGGTGTAACACATAGACACTAAGGTGATAAAATATTGAGGATTTAATGGGTGGTAACTATGATAAATAAGTAAATACAATTTCACTAATGTAAGTAATTAAAATTTTGACCTTTGGTTTGCGTAATAAGATTTCAACATTGATTGAAAAGGGAATTAACAGTATTGACTATAAAAGCTCGGATTAGTTTGCTGGACTAAACTCTTAAACCACATTAACTTGGGTCATTAAGATTATTTCAGGCATAATTTTCATATATAATGTTTTCTGCATTCCTGGCACCTGGATTTCGTCAAATTGATTCTTTCAATTTTACAGATAATCATATCTATCCATATGGCTTTGTTTTCTTGTTAATTTAGCCTTCTATTTAATTGGTGAATGAGCGTCTATTCATTACCTATCAAGCTGTGAAAGAAACAGTCATATAGGTAGTATGTAAGAGATAATTTAAGGTGCTTAGTTATCAGACTATTTAACAAGCGACTTGTTTTGAGTTAACTTTCGGATAGGTTCATTACAGAGAGATTCACCTTAAAGAAGTAAGACTTTAAAAAAATGATGTCAGTCAGTCAGTAACAACGTAGAACTTCGTACGTACGTACATCAGTTCGAGTTGCCATACCACATTAGTACACAGATGCAGTGGTCGATTCAAATCCCGTAGTGGTAGAAGTAGCAAGAGTATAAGCAGTAATCGGGAAAATTAGTGTTTGGAGATGTTATTTAAAGAGTGTAATATAGTGAAAAGAAAAAAAAGAGACAAGGAGATCAAAATTTGGGAGAACACAAAGAGTGGATGCACCAGCGCCATTGCAAACGATTTTGAGCCATGTCATTCAGGGTCTCTAACCATCGGTTGCTATCATCTCGCGGTCCCCAACCAGGTAGTCTACACCTACCAACATGGCTCAGTCCACTTGTCAGTGACTTCATGGATTTGTGCCATGTTTTGGTTTGGCCGCCTCTAGCTTTCTTCCGACCTACTCCTATACCACTGAACATCGCACGTCGAGGTAGTCGGTCGTTGGGCATACGTAACATGTGTTACAGCCATCTCAACTGATGAAGTTTCACTACATCATCAATGGATTTGCCATCCTTACCTAGTACCCGTTTCCTAACAACTGTGTTACTTACTCGATGGTCCCAGGATATACGAGCAATATTTCGAAGACACCTATGATCGAATACTAGTAACATACGAATATCCTCTACTCTTATCGGCCATGTTTCACTGCCATAAAGTAGGACGGAACGAACTGCTGCGCAGTAAACACGTCCTTTGGTTGACAGACGGATATCTCGCCTACGCCATAAATGACGCAAGTTGACAAAAGCTAGTCGAGCCTTCTGTATCCGTGCTGAGATTTCGTCACACACCAGACCACAAGGGCTGATGAGACTTCCAAGATAAGTGAAGCGGTCGACCCACTCAACTACTTCACTCCCTATCACTAGTTCGGGTGTCAATGCAACCCAATCCTGAAGCAACATTTTGCATTTCGAGGGAGAGAATCGCATCCCGAACATGCTTGCATTGTTGCTTAGAGTGGTCAGAAGACTCTGCATTTTGTCAGTGTCTTCACCAAATAGAACTATGTCATCAGCATATTCTAAGTCAACAAGTGAATCTCCCGGTAGAAGTTCAACTCCTAGAAATTTAGATGAGGAAAGTGTTATCTCTAAAAGTATGTCAACGACAAAGTTGAACAAGAATGGAGAGAGTGGACAGTCCTGACGAACATCACTTGAGGTAATCAATTCTGATGACAGTTCGCCATAAGCTCTCACTCTACCAGTTGTGTTCGAGTAGAAAGCCTCTATAATGTTAATGTACTTCTTTGGTACTCCTTTCAGTGACAAACACTGCCATAGAACCTCACGATCAACAGAGTGTTATCTCTAAAAGTACGTCGGCGACAAAGTTTTTCAGAAACAACTAGAAAAACAGTTAGATCCCAGAACATAGACACACATTCAAACGCCCCACAATCGTAGTATTCCTTGACCTTAAGACGGCATTCAACTCAGTTGATCGTGAGGTTCCATGGCAGTGTTTGCCACTGAAGGGAGTACCAAAGAAGTATATTAACCTTGTAAAGTCTCTCTACTCGAACACAACTGGTCGAGTGAGAGGTTATTCAGAACAACAATGGAAACTTTACACTAAAATCATGCAGCTCATAAAGTACACCCTCATTAAACAGGTACAAGAACCGTATACTGTTTACACCAACTAAGTGTACTTCGTAATTTGACTAATCGGTGCATGTCAGAAAATATAACTTTTGTAATTCGGAAATGTTTTATTATTTTTGTTAAACAGTATCTGTTCAACAGAGCTGCCAGTTTTTGGTCTTGTCGGAAAACCCATTTTTTGATAAAAACCCTAATAAGCCAGTAAATCAGTTCGATATAAAAACAGACAGTTACTCTTCAAAATTCCGTCACAGATTGTTATACCTTTTTTAATCTAATAATGAATATACATTACATTATCCAATATATAAGTGTAATATGAAACATGTACCAGCTATTCTACTCCATGTCAATCTTTATAATTCATTCTACCTATCTGATAATACGTGATTTTATCGTATCAATATATTTTTTTACTTGTATGCAAGTGTCATAAATAACCTAAGACATGTATATATTTATTCTGCTTTTTATGACTAGAGTATTAGCTTTCGGACACAATCGAATATAAACTTAGTACTAAAATGGTGTCCGAAAATTGGAACATGTAAATGAACCAAAATTAATAATATGGAAAGAAAGAAACTGATTTATTTGTATCTTTAATGTGTCTATCATAAGCAAACACGATGTAATTTAGCATGTGTATTTCAAAATCATTGGTTATTATTCTTACTAATTTCCATTGTTTTCTTGCAAATAACAGTAGGAGTTAGTACTAAATAATAATAATAATAATAATAATAATAATAACAATAATAATAATAATAATACTTAGAAATTCTGTGGTATATATGGTGTATATTCTGTCTAGCCTGTCATATAAGACGAATTAAATAACTGTAATTTCTTGAAACATGGATTCACAGAACAGATGAAAATTTCAAGTAAAAGTATTCAGATTTAAGAAGTCAGGTAAATGACTACATAGAAAAAGAATTTTCTAAAAATTTGAATGTTAGAATACGGAGCTTGTTGAAATTGTTCATCTCGAGATTAATTTTCATTATAAGGGGATCACAACATGCTCTTTGACACAATCAAAGGTCGACAGGTATCCCTTTCATGTTACCACCAACTGTGTATACAAATTTACATGTACCTGCCAAAGCAGTTACATTGGTAGAACAGAAAGGAGAGCCTACGTCCGATTCAAAGAACATATTCCGGAAAGTTTAAGGTTAAATGGATTGAACACATTCAACAGTGCTATCGCAAGACATCTCCTTGATACAGGACATAAAGCTGATATACTGAAGTCCTTCAAGGTGATTAACAAACAATCAAACTCGAACCTTTTGAAATTCGCTGAAGCGTTAGCAATCAAACGTTTAAAACCAGATCTATGTATACAAAAAGAGACAGTAATAAATCTTTCTTTACCCTGGTAACAATAACCCCCACTCTTTCTATTAATTTGCTCCTATTTATTTATTTATTACGTCATTATTGCAACTCTTTCTGAAATATAAATTACATCATACATAACTGATTGATTTCAATTCACATTTTCTTTATTACCATTAATCTATTTTCATGAGTTCTAATCACTAATTCAATGTTCCAGAACTTTCCCTCTCAAACTTTATTTATTTATTCGAATCAAACATTTTATGAGCTCATTAACTCTATCGGAATCTTCGCTACATCATCATACACATATATTGATCTTTAATCACACTCTTATATATAAATATGTCAATATCTGTAATAATGTTGAATTTCAAATAATTTAGGTTGTAAGCAGCTGATGAGAACCTAACGAAATAAAATGAATTCATATTATTCTGCACCAATCTTTGTTCTTGCTCTATTTAAGTCAAATTACTTGAACTAATTTTACAAATAAATAAAGTAGAGGGAAATTTCGTTTTTTTTTCCCAAATCACAACAAATGTTATATCTAAACAGAATGTAATCATTAACTGACCTTATTCAACACTCGATGTAACTGCTGGCTTCATATAAACTGACAAGCTTGGAAATAGAAAAAAATTACAACTAAACAATTTATTTTATTTACTTCCATGTAGGTAGACAAAAACTAGTGAGGATCATTAGGCAAAGATGGATAGTGGTTGGCACTGAAATCCGGGACGCGCGTTTCGTCCTATTTGAGACTCGTCAGCTGGATGTACTCGCATCCCAGAGTTGATGTTAACTCCGAGACTCATGCAGGTACATGCAGCTGACAAGTCCCAAATAAGACGAAACGCGCGTCCTGCAATCCACTGCTAGCCACTATCCATCTCTGTTTAAAAAGCTCGTGACTTAAGGCTATGTCGAGGCAATCCGCGCAGGATTCAAATACTCCAACATGAGACTGATCAATTGCAATCCTAAATAACGATCGAAGATACAAATAAAACAACATCAGGTGAATTTAATTAGTGAGGATGATATTAAAGTAATCACGACCCATCTTATTGATATGTCCAATGGTAAACAAACTCAAATCCCATTATTTGAAAAGTTGGAAAATTATTCGTTAGGTGATGATTATTACTTTTTACTTAATAACTGCTTGTTGTATTTGGAGCTCGTAAATTTCATTTGTTGATATTTTTAACGCTGAACCAAGCAGTCTTTTTAAGTATACAAGCACTTTATGCGAATGACGTTACATTATATATTTCTTGACTACGTCTCTGACTATCAAGCTCGATTACTGCACGGATCCTAAAAAGGAAGTCTGTACCATTAGACGTGAATTAAGCCAACATTTGATAACTTCGCAGACTGATTTCATGTTTTGGTTTGATCGTCTCTAGCTTTCAAATCAATCCTGTTCCCATGAAATATGTTAGGCACATATCAATGACTACAGTTTGTGAAAATTTATGGCTTTTTCAATTGATTTATCATCTGTACCCAAAACATTTCTCACATATAGTTAAAAAATAGTATCATTTTGAATACTAACTGAAGTAACAATAATATTGCATTGATATCGATTGTTATTTTAGAACACTATTCAAATCAGAATCGTATGTTTTTCACAGGTTTCATTGTTTAATTTTTTCTGGCTAGCTTTTTTTAGCGAGTTAGTTTTCTACGGGATGGTGCTGCTAACCTCATGCACAACCCTCCTCCTTTATATAAGCTTGGGACCGGCAGTAACCCCAGAGGGGGCTCCAATTGCAGTTAATTTTCATCATATACTCCCATTAAATTTATACATCTTACATAGCATTGAAGTCACTGGCTAACTTCAGTATTATCCATATGAAAAACGATTGATAGAATTTCATTTATAGTACAAACGGACGAATGTTGGTCTGTGTTCTTTTTCAAGTATTCCATCTAAAATCGTGATCTTGTTGCATTTTTTCTTTTATGTTTAAACAGCATATTATATAATGAATATTGTTAAATTTACCAATGTTACTTTCAAGATTATAGATATATTATCAGTATAAAGACACTATATAACCTTATAAATGACAAGACTTTGTTTCAATCAAAAGATAATTTGATTTTTATCAAACATTTAAATTGATTCCAATTAAAAATCTCTTCTTGTTTTAGACATATCTTACTGCCAAGAATATAAAAACGCATTTCATTGAAAATATTGAAACATTAAAAGATGATTATTCAAAATACTCTTATAGGTAAGATGATATTATTAATTCACTTAATATTACAATGCCAATCATACGAATGATTAGCATGATGTAATGAAGTTCTTATGACAACATGAATGAATTTTAGAATTCCCCATTAATTTCTAGGTAGTCATCATAACTTTTTACAATATATTATATTGTGAATTTATTAGTCGGAACTATTTTGAATTCATTCAGTGTGCTTCTATTACTGGTGTTTATTTAGTGAGGTTCTGTACATCAACTGAACACAAATGTTAATGTACAGTAAGAGATTTTAATAATTTTCCAGGCAAAGGAATTCATGATTCGCAAATACTATCTCAACTAATGGCCTAAATGGTGTTATTTGTCAAATAAATGAGGTATTGAGTTAAAACTAACTAAATACAGATTATTTTTGTACGTTGTTAATGTTGATCCATTAACCATGTAACATTATTGTTAATGGATTAAGGTTCTTTGAGGAGAGATTGAAATTCATAAGCTCGATTCTTATAACGTAATAACTACTAGTGGTGTGTTGTCTGAGAGATCATAAAGATTGAAATAAATGTACATCGACAATTGGATTTTAGTGGTTACTTGAATTAAATAGTCATATAACCGCAAAAGTCGTATAACAGCGACACTGAGTCTAAAAATAGAAGTTCGAAGTTACATACGGTCTGATTAAGACAAAAAATATTTCATTTCATAGTATCACTAATAAAGAAGTAATTTAGGGGACAGAAAATAAACGAAATAATTAAACTATCTGAATAAATTAAAACAGAACAGTTTGTAAATAATGGTATACCCAAGTGTACAGATTATTCATGTGGTAATAAAATCAGTGTTGGGATATTCAGAAATATCCCAAAAATTATCCTGTTAAGTCTAATGCTATTCTTGGACTTGAGATGGTATCATTTTCCTATTGGTCAATATTTGTTCCAGGTGTCATCTTCCTACTGGTCAATACTTATTTCACGTGCCAAATGTTATTTTCTATTTTGTGGTACGATGTGGTCTGCTTGATTGGTATATAAACAGAGTATGTTTGAAATATGGTGATTCATATATTAGAGGCTGAGACTTGCGTTCTGGACTCAACTGGCTGGGCTAGACAGGGAAGCGAGACCAATCGGGACTCTAGGTCGTTCTTACGTGTTTAACGCGTCTTTGGTCCGATCGATAATTCGCTGCCATCTAATCTGCAGTCCACAAATTATAACAATCAGCTCTTATTTAAATGACATGACTAAACACCACAACCCTTGTCTAATGCTCTGTTGATAATATGATATCATTTTTATGTATTCACCCTTTTCTTTATAGTTTATCCATAATGTGCAAGTATTTCATTCGGATTACAGACGATTGTGATAATCTGATTAATTCAATTAAAAAGATAAGTTAGTTACATCAAATCGCGATCTGTCCAAAGCAGTTCGTTATTACTCATAAAATCCAATTCGACTGACTTTATTCCTTATCAGTGAATACCATCATTTCTATATAACACTTATAAACGTAATAGTAAAAGTTAACGGTAATTTTATTTCCTGTAATTGAAGTACTCAGTAACTGGCAACATAAATATATAGATTTACATAACTTGACGCAATAAGATCGTGGGATTATCTGTCACATTTTTAGTGAGTTAATAAGTATATGTATCCAGTATTTTTTCCGTTCATTTATTGGGGTGGGGTGCTGTAGAGAAGTGAATAATATTCATTGAAGATTTCAGTTGATGCCTTAACATTCACTATACTTGTATTTTTCATTCATTATCTTGGGATGTACAACCTTGATGTATTTATGGAAGACAGTTATGTGGATAACTTCACACTCTTCAAATGAAATGTCGAGTGAAAATCACTTTCTTAAATAAAGCATTCATTTACCAAATGAACTTAAAATGCCGGGCATCACACACATATTGAACGGGTGGATAACGTCACATATAGAATCATATGACACTGACAAGGCTCTTCTAAGCTCTGCATTTGAACGACAATTGAGAACATTGTAACAGTCAGAGAGGATAACATATTCGATTGTGAGCAGATTTGGATTAATGTGAGACTATTAAACGGGAGTGTCTCATTTAAAGGTTACCAAGAGAAGTCATAGAAGTTTGACCATGCGCTTCCAACTAGTAAAGTCGATTATAATTAACAGTATTAGTATTGAATGTGTGCGTATAAACCATGTTCTACATTTTATTTTCGTAATTTCTACAGAACTGAATTAGATTCAAACTGCGAAACAGAATTCACCTCTGAGGTACCTAAAAGCGTCATCACAAATATATTAAATGATAAATTAGAAGCAATATCACCATCTGATGAGTTCACATTTATGAGTAATAAAATTACTGAATTGCGAAGTGATGCGACTGATGGATCATGAAATCCACACATAAACACTTACACTTTTTGTATTTAGTAGAAAACTCAACATCCATAAAGTATGCAGAATTGATAGCTCTTCTTTTATGTTTCAAATATGTTCAAGTATTTTACATTGATGTGTGTATACAACGAGTCGTTGAAGAAATACAATATAACCTGTCTTATGAATACACAGATGCATTGAGAGAATCATCTAATAGCATATATTTATATTTATGTGGATATATAACTCAAGCTTACAAAAATAAAGTTTTATCAACCTGAAAACCTACATTTACCCCACAGGCCAATATAATTTAAACTAGTATCATTCAGAAATTTTGGATTGAACTTTACGTCCATAATGTTTCTTGATACTTTTTAAATGTTTACCTTTATGTAAAATACCTATTTTCTCTAGATTCATTGTTTTCTATTCATCATATTTCATATCGAAACTTGTTATCTTATTCACTCTATCAAAACTGGTGTTTCAAATAAAACAGGAATTATTCAGTGACTTTTTGTTATCATAGATAGTTAATCCAAGAAAGAAACGAAATAACTTCATAGAAACGTTACTTTACAAACATTTGTGTATCATTAATGTTTTTTCTTCTTTTAAAACGTGGGTAGTAAACCCAACAAGATGGATTCTGCAGCTGCCTTGTTATTTGGCATTTGATCTTAACTAGATATTTTGACATGATGGAGTATACAGACATTTTTATTAGAATTTAAAATCGATATAGTGAATCGGCGATCAGAACGTACGAAAGACCACACACCTTAAATCTTTTTATCAAAATAGGTGGACAGTTTCCTTAACCCTGGAGTCTTTACTGGAATGTTTGATGCACTTACTATTTTCTTCAATGGATTATTTTCATTAAATCGCCCTTAAGACCTTATGATTTCTTCTAGAGCTTTAGCAAAAACCTTTGTTGCAAAGTCCGCGCATTTATTGCCAAAACATATATATATATATATATATATATATATATATATATATATATATATATATATATATATATGTTATATCCCAATGAGTAGGAATATTTTATTTCTGGCGTTTCGTGACTTGACGTAAACCTCCGAAGAATCGATTTACATTAAGTCACGAAACGTCAGAAACACTATTTATGTGACGTATGACTCAATTTTTTAGTAAAAATAGTAAACGCCAGGTTGTGGTAAAGGATTATTAAATTACATCCTATTACAACAACTGACGCTAGTTATTGAATAATGTTTTAAAAACTACCACCATACGAAAAAGTAGCAAGAGTATGATTAAAATTCTGTTTTTTCTACGGTAATGTATAGTTTTAATGGTTGAACTATTTGTGCAGATCAAGTATTTGATCAAAGTAGATGGAGACTAGTAGATGTAAGCAGAATTTGCAAGAAACTTTAAATATTTCCAAGAATAATATTAAGCAATTATTAATTAAATTGTACTAAGTCACAATCATTATTTCCTTGTAGACCAAAATCTGACTTAATGAAGACGGATGTAGATGATATCATATTAAAATTACTTCCTATTTATGTCTGTAATGTGATACAGTAAGATGCCTTTCACAAAACAATGTCAAATAGTTCATAAGTTGCTTAAATATCAATTTTTGTATAAAACACTGACAATTTTCAAGTTATAATTATTCTACTTTTGTGTTAAGTTACGTAGGTTCTAGTTCAATCTTAACCCAGAATAAAAATATCCATTTAAACTTCATTAAAAGTGACCGATGTAATACTCCTTGAAAAATAGAAGCGGATAAACCAGTGCAACTGACGGAACTTGGAGCATTCGAAGCTTATTACTCTCTCTTTCTTTTGGTTGTTGACTGAATTATAAAAGCCTCCACATCTCAGGAGAAGCATGGAATACAGAGGGCACCTAGGGATCTGTAGATAACTTAACCCTTCTATCGTATACATAGGAACAAATGCAAATGAAGATACACAGTGTAGAATTAGCTTTGACAGAAATAGGTTCCAAGATTCACAAAGGAAAAAGTGAGATCCTGAAGTAAAAACAGCGAGCACCAACCAAATCACTCTTGATGGAGAAGCTGTGAAAGAAGTGGGAACTTTTACGTATCTGGGCAGTATCATCGACACACGAGGAGGGTTTGACGCAAATATGAAGGTATGAAATGGCGAAGCAAGAACAACGCTGCTATAAGGTTAGGGTCATAAGTTCAACACTATCGTTTAAACAGTCCATTTGATAACAACTAGAAAGGATAGTGGAGGTGTAAATACCTGGTTGGGGACATATGTCCCGAGACGGGTAATATGCTTAAGTTTATACTTCAGGTAGCATAAAGTTAGATCGACATCAGGTAGATGCACATGTACTTCTGATCACTATGACCGACTGACCAATTTTAATAAAATTGGTCAACAAACCCAACAAAATGAGATGAATTCACGATATTTACTTCAAATTGTTGTTCTAGTTCCCTTGAGAATCAGGCTTCGTAGCAAGGAGGGGAGACAATTAATAAAAATAGCAGAGATAAGACGTTTTTTATTGTAGATCGCATTATAAGCGATTGGAAATGGATAGACAGCAAAAGTGTTCCAAATAGTAATTACAATTCACACGTATTTCTTATTCAAGGTTAAATCAAGATATAAACGGAAGTACATTACCTTCAAGTTACGTTCTCCAATTATTATATATGGATATTTTCAGGAAATTATATCTACACACTGAGAACAAGTAAAGCACTTCAAACTAGAACATAGAAGGGCGAAAGAAAGACATTTTAGGAGGTCAGATTTCTGAATATACAAAAAATCTCTTATTCTGGAATGGCACGTAAGGACAAAATACGAAGGGCTTCTTCCGGAGTTAGTCTATAAACACCTAATTCAAGTAAAGGCCCAAGTGGATCGTTATCACGCTTCTGTTGGCTATTCATTGATTCCATGATAGTTTCTCTCAATAATTCGGCTGTTCCACGCAATAAATTTAGCAGAACACATGCATCACGAATTTGAAAGAAATATGACTCAGGACGTTCAGTATACAAACTGAACATTGGATACAAGTAGTTAGTAAGATCAAAACGAAGTTGTGCAGCACCCAGAGGACTAAATCGATTTGATAGAATGAGCTGTTGGGAAAACAGGTTAAAAATGAAGATGTTAGATAATTATCAATTGTTGACATTACATTCGCTTTAAATTCTATCATCATATCACTTATGTCTAATTATTGACAGAGTCCCCAAACAGAAAGTGTTTGGGGAATGTAGAGTAAGAGGTGCATATGACGTTTAGAAAGTGAAACTCTAACGCGATTTCATCCTAAATACTGAATTGTGAACTTTGTAAATTTGGTCAACAGTTAAATAGTTGTGAAATTGTTTTACCAGTTCTAATCTCTAAGATGAATCGATCCGAGCACACATCTAAAAGCCTAGGGCCTGAACGAACAAAATAGTTGCCTAATGTCCACGTCATTTTGGATTAGTTAAACAAACACTCGATTGACCTGAATGTTTTCGCCTTGAAGTATCTGACGAATTATTTTTTGGTACTTATACAACCAAAATTGACTATAAAGCTAAAATTCCGTTATAGTTTGGTGTGTGAAAGGAAACATGAATTCATATTTCTTTAAGATGTAGATAAATAGTAACAACTTCAAGTCATTTTAAGTTGCCGGAAAGAATATGGAAGTATATAATAAATACGTCGAGCACATCAAAAGTTCAGTGTCTCTGACTAGAACACTGATATGTGTGAATTTTTGAGGTAAATCATTTTTTAGATATTGGTGTACAAAACCTTGGTATAATTATTCCTGTTGTTCCTAAGTATCTAACATGATATTAACAAGTGTAGAAGATGGAATAATTTCCATGAAAATTGTGGACTGTTTATTCTAGGAAGGAAAGGAACCAAAAGTGAAAAAAGAGGCTGCAGTGACTATATATATATATATATATATATATATATATATACGCTTTGAAATAGTGACAGGAAGTTTAGTTTGTTCTGATATCTAATCTACCATTCTCTTCACCAACATACTCCTAAATTTGTCTATGATAATCATTCACAAACCCATTAGTTAGTTTACTTCTTTGCCACGTGCATGTTAATGTATCTAACCTAAAGTGTGAGGTCAAGTGACATTATCCAGCTGGCTGAACCGATATTAAAAGCCGATAGTTGAACAACATAGGTGACAATATTTAAAATCGGTAATAGGTGAAAATATGAGTACATTTTCCCATCTAAACTCTAAACAATAAAAATCTACTACTCTACATTAATGTAGAGTAATACACATCATCATGATTAATTCAGCTGTTTTCACTTTCCCTAAAAGATAATTTGAACACATCAATCCATAGATGTAGCCAGATTCAATATTGCTTTATCCATCACCTAGTTATTTATGTCACAAGTGCAAAGTTCGAAATTATGGGAGGAATAGAGGTAAAATTAAAGTTGGCTCAGTTTAGGCAAACTCAACTAATAGATGAATTAAGTTGTCACAACATACCTCATTATACAAATAATCATCTAATTGTGATGCAATTTCCTTCCATACATGTGTGAAAAGTTTTGGATGTAATGATTCTGATAACTGATACAACCAGTCACGTAATGCAAGAAAGAATACTGACGCATTAGCTGACATCATTAAGTTGGAGAGTTCACTTTTCATACTACTTAAATAACCGGAAACAGAACTAGTTCGAAGCCAGTGATCAGTTGCATAAACATATACCAAAGATTTACTTTTTAAATCTGTCAATGTTAAATCGACTGTTTCTTTCAACATATTTTTAATTTCACCATTGTACAATCTTAGCATCTGTTGAATTGTTGAAAAAGAAAATATAAAATAAACACTATTGAACAAGGTACGACATGCAGTAATCACCTATTGAAAGTCTGGTAATAAGCTGTGAAACTGAAACAAAACAAGCGACAGCAGTATTATGCCGATATTAACAAATGCAAGTTTTAAAAAAAAGAAAATGCTCTAAACACGATCAAAACTTTAACAAATGAAATGGTATCAAAAATAGACAGATTGTTGATTAGTGTGTAGAATTATGTGAAAATTAATTGAAGTATATTAAAAGTTATCACAAATTAAATCTCTCTGCAAAGCCCACTTGTAAAGTTAGTAGCGTTTCTTTAGACATTTATTGCATTGATATTTGAGTTTGTCAGTGTTACAGATACATAATTAGTCAAAAAGTATCATTAATAACAAAAGCTGACTATCATAAGCAGACACGGAAATCAGGTTTCTTCGTAACTGTCGTATACTTGGTAGAAGGGGAAACTGACAAATGGCTTACATGAAAAGATTTAATTCATGCAGCTTATTTGAAGCATACTTATTCATGAAACCTACTGACAAATGTACGACTTTTGTTAATACTTTATTTTGAAATATATTTTATTAGTTTAATAGCTGTCCAACGGTATGAAGAAAAATGTTCAGTTAGAATTTATCCTTTGTTACGCAAATGAAACATGTGACTTCATAATCGTATACAAAATTATGTACTAAGCTTTGGAAATACAGATTTTTGAGTGTGATAACTATTGACCCCGCCACAAAACATGAGGATGAGAAAAGTTTGGACATGAGACTTATTGATTAGGAAAAAGTATTTTAACCACTATGGATTTATTTTATTTATTTATTTATTTGAGTATAAACAATGGCACAGGGGGGCACCATATACATATGCGATACGTAATAACCATGAGGTTGTGAAAAGATAGAGGTGGAGTGAGTATGATAAAAAAGAACAGCAACGAACAGAAATTAGTATATAAGAGTGAAATAACAATAATAATCATAATAATATTAATAATAGGAAAAACAGTTCAGTTAGCAAAAATATAATGAGAAAGAATTCTTTCAATCAAGGAAATTACGTTCACTTTTATGAAGAAGGTTACAGCAGAATCGTCACTTGCTTTTATTCTGAGTCATGCCTAACAATGTTTCTAGCCACTATGCTGTACCATCTTTAGGAAATCAACCAGGAAGTCGTAAAGGCCCAACACAAGCCAGTCTTGTAAAACTTACTTTCATACCACGACATGTCATATACTGACCACCCTTACGCTTTTTTCAAACAGTCTCAGCGTCGGCAAATAATGCACAACGAGGAATTCGCTGAGACGACATTCGTAAGACATGTTCAAGCTACCGAAGTCTGTGTTTCAAGATTTTGGCACCGATTGTATTATCATCAGTGTCCGAAAACACGATGCCGAACCTCTGCATTACTAACATGGCGTTGCTATTGTATGTCAGCAATTATTCGTATACAAAAATGATGAAACACAGAGTCGCTTACAATACTCAACTCGGAGTGGTCAGGTCTCACAAGCATGAAGCAAAACTCCTCTCACCGACGTGTTGTAGATCCGACCTCTTACAGCCAGATTAGCATCACGAAGGCGCCAAAGATGGCTACCTAAATACACGAACTTGTCGACTACTTCTATCCGTCCACTACCCAGGGTGAGTACAGAATTAGGGTCCTGTCAGTCTTGTAAAAACACTTTGAACTTCGAAGGTGCGAAGTACATACCGTACATACGGACATTAATAGCCAACTGATTAAGTGCAGATTGCATGGCTTGGGCATTATCACACAGTAAGACAATACCATCCGCATACTCAAGGTCCAGAAGTCTTTCTCCAGGCAACAGATCCACACTGCCATTACTAACATTCATCAGAGCTGTTTCCAGAATGTCATCGATGGCAAAGTTGGAGAGGAATTATGAGATTCAGCAACCTTGTCCAACCCCACTGCTTGAGTGCAACAGTGGAGAGAGGTGGTTGTATACCCTCACTCTGCCTGTGGTGTTCTTTTATTTGTTTATTTATTTGAACACATAAATATTGGCACAAGAGGGCACTATATATATATATATGCGCCACAATTTTGTGTGAGGGCTGTGATACTGTCCGGGTGCCCAGACTGAAGCAAGTGGTTTTCTTAGGGGCCACACCCCGGGCTTTTGACCTAAAGGTCTGATCCACAAGGCAGTGGAGCATCGTGAGGAGATGCAGTCCCATGGTAGCCGGTGACCAACGATTGGTCCATACGCCATTTGTTCCCGCAGGATACTGGAGCCCATGTGCACCATTGGTTTGGGATCCGGTTAAAGTGCCGGAAATTCGCTTTTCGTCCTCCCATTTTCGTAAACAACACCCCCGCCACGAGAAGGCAGTGAGTAGGACTTTCCTGGCAGAGGCTGTATACACTTGGCTGTGTGAGAGCATTTCGAGAGGAAGGGCGAGTCCACCTCACTCTTGGCCATACTAGGGCATTTGGGGGGCGAGGTGTTTTTGTATATAGGGCTTTCAAGATGTCAATAAAATTCTCAGGAACGCCCTTCAATAGGTTATCCCAGGAAACAGTCATGTCCAACAGATCGATGGCAGCTCTGATGTCAAGAAACACTACGATTGTTGGTCTGTGATAAGTATGACGGTATTCTAACATTTGGCGGAGGGTGAATATATGATCAATACATTCTCGACTAGAATGAAAACCAGCCTGCTCCTCGTAAGTCAATCTTTCTCAGGTTTTCAACAATCTATGAAGTATGACGGAAGTCAATATTCAGGACGCAATCGGAAGTAGACCTATCCCCTGAGACGTGTGGCAGAAACGAAGTGAACCCTTTTTAAAGGGAGGAACAACTATAGATTCATTTTGTAATGTTGGAACACTCTCTAATTGCTATATCTTTAGAAATAAGTAAGTCAGTTCCATGAAAAAAGTCGCCACTATTTTGGTCAAACTCGTGGTCATTCGGAGAAGACCGGTGTGCTTCAATGAAATGTAAATAGCCTGAAGAAACCCAGTGCTTATAAGAGGGAAATTTCGCGAAGTCTCAAACGAATTAAATCGCCATTTTCATAGCGTCATGCAATTGCAACCAGTGCTCATCTATACTTTCTGATGGGATGGTAGCTAACCATGGACCTAGCTCGGTTTGATATTTAGTTGCAACATAAGCTGCAACCAATTTACTGACATTGATCTGTTTAGGATGATGAATTTGCTGGCCAATGAAAAGTAAGGTAAAATTAGTGCAAACAAGGAATGACCAGAGTCCAGTGCTGCCTCAGCTCTAGCATTTAATACAATACGAACTCCGGCAAAACAAGCGAAGATGCCACAGGGTCTCCGGACAAACTTACAGAAAACAAGCTATTCGAAGCGACAGATGGAGGGCGAATTTGTAGTATTTCATAAGAGTCTTCAATATAGGTCTCGGATAGACAACAGACAAAGATATTGAGACTTTCTAAAGACATAGCCAACCCCATCTATTGTCCGCTATGCATGAGTGTGCGGACGTTGAAAGAGCTCAGTTTGAATGGCACACGCGGTTTCAGAAAGACTGGCTCAGTATTCGTAGTCGGTGGTAGGATCCAACCTTCGATCAGTCAGTGACTTGTGATTGTTTAGACAGGCCAGGGTTTCTACCATAGGCGAACTGCTGTATAAGTTAAAATATAAAATACGCAAAATGAGTATCAAGAGGAATACATAAGCAACTAAGTATAAAATAAATAAAAACGAATGTTATCATATGATTGTGAATAAGATTTGTGTAAGCCAGTGTTGAAACAATAGTAGTTATCATAGATTTGTGTGAGAGCTGTGATACTGCCCGGATGCCCAAACCGAAGCAGGTGGTTTTCTTAGAAGACCACTTCCCGAGTCTTCGACCTAAAGGTCTGATCCACAAGGCAGCGGAGCAACATTAGGAGGTCCAGTTCCATGATAACCGGTGACCAACAATTAGTCCATACACCATTCGTTCCTTCAGGATCTCGGAGCCAATGTGCACCACTGATTTGGAACCAAGGTTTTCCAACTCTCCTGAGTGTATCCTCCATGTCCACCAACCCAGTTAAGTGCCGAACATTCGCTTTTCGTTTTCTCAATTTCGCAAACAACACTCCCGCCGCGAGAACGCAGTAATCATTACTTCCTTGGCTGTATACGAGGGGTACGTGTGAGCATTTCAAGAGAGCGGATCACTAAGGATAGATGTCTGGAAACTTATTTATGGTATCTAAAAATCCAAACTGTAGTGTCTAGTGAATGATAATGTATTGGTCGTAAAATCCAATGGCCCCTGATTTTATTGCAATTATAGTTACGGGTGGGCATGATTAAAAAGTTTAAAAACCGATTGAAACGGATTCCCAAAGCGTTTTATCTGCGTAGTTGATGAGATTCGGCGAAGGTCACTATTGGATATGAAGGTCGTATATATGAAATATACGATTGAAATGTTTTGAAACCTGCTCAGGAAAATTGGACTCAATAACTTATCGGTAACGTCTCAAATGAAACCGTGAGTGACGCAAATTTTCCGGAGAAATATTGTCTGTAAGTAGGATTAGACAAAAAGCTTATTATTATTATTAATGGCTTTATTCAATATTATATTTTTGTCACCGTATAAAATAGTACGGTGAATACCTGATATTCATCAAGTCTCTATATAATTTTGGTAACTAATGTACAGAATAAAATAAAACCTAAAATATAAAGTTTACATCAATTATTATCAAATAAATGAAAGACATTATTAAATTTACAGTTATATATCACAACTAACCTGAGTGAAAACACCACCATGTAAACCAAGGTAAGTATTGGAAGAATGCAACTCGTCAAATGTTTCATTTTTAGGTTCATTCTGTTCTGACTATTAAAAAAGACAGATTATAAAACACCATAATTAGAGAAGGATACTAGAAATAATTGTAATGTGCTGGAATGCTACTAGTAAAAATCATGATATAAAACATGGTTGTTCTTGCAAAAACAGTTATAAACCAGGGCATGTATTATCTAACACAAATAAACAATTTACAAGCACTGAGCTACAAGTCAAACAACAAGTGTATTAAAACTATGAAACTGAAGCGAGTTATTAAACCAATCACAAAATCAAAGAGATAAGCGCTTAATAATTAGGTTGATGAAAATACAAAAAATGCCTTGGGTTTATATATATATATATACAAACAATGAAACTATACTGTTTTGGCATTGACTTTGGTCATTTCTAATTGTCTTCAAGAAGTTATGAGAGACGTTTAAGATTACGATCCAAAATAGTAGACTTCAAATAACTGAGAAATGACCAATTAATTAATCAATTTTGAGAGAACATGGATTTCATGCTATTACTTTGAAAGCTAGATATCACAGTAGCGGATTATTACTGAACTATGTCTTAGTCGTCAAGCGGACACGCGTGTTTGATAACTGATGTGAATGATTTGACACACGATAATGACATTTGGTTCAGCATGCTATTAATCATTAACTCCATGAATTGTCAACTAATAAACATAATAGGAGATCCTTCAGATTATTCTAAACCCCGTGGTTGTTTTTGAGTGAGAATAGATCTAATTGTTGTATTTATTGAAGTAATGTACTGGTGACATGACTAGACCAACTAGATGTTACATATTTTTGCTATTTCGGAACAAAATCATGTACTACTATAAAGATTTGAATGACCACTGGTGTTACTAAAGTGATTCTGAGAGCATCAAGTGTAGTAATCTTTAAAACAAAGATAACTACAAATGCTTCACAGTTTTTCTGATAACTTTTCGGTATATATGAGTCCACCTAATCTTGAATTTGAGTGAACGGAGATACCTGTCTATAAGGTTAAAAAAAAGGATTAAGTAGCAGATTTCAGATTATTTTAGATATTTTTTAGTACGTGGGTATTTTATGAGTATATATATATATATATATATATATATATATATATATATATATATATATATATATATATATATATATATATATATATATATATCAAATCACTTACCTCCTTTACTATTTCATCGGTAACAAGAGGACAAAGACCAATGTCAATTAGCCAAGGATCTCCAAACTGTAATAACGCGCGAGTGCTTAAATCTTCCCAAAATGTTACGTAATACTATGAATTAAAAGAGATTGAAAAACCACAATATTATTTCAGGATTTTATGGTAGTCATATTTTTGGTGGCAACTTTGTCTTCTCTTGAAATCGAAACCTGTATCAGGCACTTAATAAAATGGTTTACTGGTAAAATGATCTGACTTTAAATCCGTGATAGAAGTATTACTAGCCTTTATCTACAAAATCTATGACTACAACCCGAGTGCATGGACCTGTAAGTGATTACTGATATATATGTTGAAATCTAGTGTTCAGGGTATATTCATATGTTGAGGTGGAAAAATTTCAGCTTTACTACTAATACTGATACTAATAATGGTAATAAATAATAAGAATAATTTATTCAAGAATAATAAGTTACATGAAGTATGTCGATTTACAGGCAAGATAAAATTGTTACGAGTGGGCTTTAATCGAAAGATCTTAATACTACAGCATAGGAAGAAGGAAGCGTTAACAGAAACCAGAACACCATGTGACTGTAACTCCAAGTAAGATTAGCTTCTTGTCTGATAATAGTTGTTTTTTATTATCTCAGATTGAAATATATATTCCACTAATTAACTATGATGAAGATCCCCATAATCAAACACTAAGTTCTATTTATAGTATATATATAGATATAGTATAGATAACGTGCTAAGTTCAATAGGAGCTTCTTGATTTTAAATCAATAACAAACAGTAGATAACTAAAAGACTAACGGACTAGTTACGTATGAATCAATAAAACAATAATCTTATTCATGTAATTTAGAAGTACTGTCCATGAAAGCTTATAAATACGCAACGGTCAACTAACTTGATCATTGGCCCATTCCAACATCACATCGTGAAGACATTTGATTGCATTCAACACAATTATCCACCGAGAAGATAATTTCTGACCAATCCCATCAACAAAACAATTGAATAACTGATTGATGATTGAAATTTTCTTAGTTTCTGAACTAGCGTTTGGCGAGCGACTACGTGATGAAAACAAACTTCCAAGCACTGTTGTTTTAGCATTGCTAACTTCAGATTTGTTTTTTGACTGACCAAGGTCATTTGAGTCATCATTTTCGAATTTTCGACGTGCTGACAACACGATATCATTAAAAAATTCACGAATTAAATTCAACTGAATTTGGACAAATCTAGCCCGTGATATTTTGTCAGATAGTTGTCGACTTCTAAAACCTACAGCATGGAGAAGTGCAATGAAATCATCGACACACTGGGGCCTAAAGAAAAGAAAATTTTAATAGCATAAGTTCTCGACGCTACGAAAATTTTCATATTTTCAGTATCAAAATATATTGATTCGGTAATGAAGATGGACTATGACAAGATAGAAGTTCACTAAAGAAAACATATGTTTGCTCAATAAGTAAATAAAAAACTGTCTAATAACCACTTTAAAGTTTTTGCAAAGAAGTAGTATACACATTAGAGAGAAAAGCTTTAATAGAATCACTTTGTTGTGAATACGAATGTAAAGATTAGAAGCTCGAAATTGTCACTTGATGCAACAAAGCCAAAAACAATATATCTCTGAACACAATTTGTAATACTTTATACGCCGGAAAGATTATAATCAGAAAACACTTCACAAAACATAACAGGACGTATAAGAGTAAACACCAAAGATTTTAAGCAATTAATGATCACAATTATTTTTAAGTCAAAAAATAGATAGTGATGATATTTACAAAACTAATAACATATCTAAAATAATTGAAGCTTTTAATTGGTCAGAATATCGATTTGTAAGTGTTCATACTTTCCAGGACTTTGTCCGGACAACCTATCTGTATATCATTGACAAATCACATCAGTGCTAGATTTCATATAGTTAAATATATACTTAAAAATTCTAAAATCACTGAAATTCGTTGGAGCTGTGTTAGATGTCTAAACATTTGACTCTATCATAGGTTGATGAGTAGGAATCTCATTTCACCCATTTAGTTTCTGATAACTAAGCAGTATTGCTTACCGCTTTACAATGAATGTAGTTAGTACTCCAGTGTTAGTCAATACTTGACCAGATATAACAATGAACGTCTTTGGAATCTTGAAGGATATATGCTGAAGCATAAAAAACTAAAGCTGCAGTTAACTATTTTACTTACCGCTTTTCAGTTTCGTCAACAACAGACCAAGATGAGAAATTCCCGAGGACAAGCTTTAATCTGTCAGAAGCTAAACACTGTTCTAGTAAAAGCCAACGTGAAAAAACTTTGGGATGTGAAAGCACATCACTCGGTTTAGGATAATCATTTGGATATGCTAGCTGAGTTAATTTCGCATCCGTCTGTAATATGACATCAATTAAGTGGCTGAAAGTTTGGGCATTTTCTAGCAATTCACTACTAGAACTATTACCGGGATCAGAGTCCATAAGACAACTTAATATTTCAGAGTTAGAACGTCGCATTTGAAATTGATAACCAAATCGTACTGGCATAAAAGCAGATATACCAAGGTCATAGTGTAGTTTGTCTAATAGCAATGTGACCAAACCGCGCATGAGCTGCAACTAGAGAAAATAGCAATGTCATCTCATTAAATTATAACTCTAAGTACAGTAAGCAAAAATTCACAAGCTGATCTAGATGCAAGTACAGCCTACCACTGAACTAGTGTATACAAATTTACAGACTTATGTACTACACTGGGCTTTTCGTGGTACTTCAGTTGTACAATTAATACCATATTACTAACTTACGTCAACTCCTTGATAGTACTAAGTTACGATAGGTACCTTTCATTCAACTAGTTTAGTTATTTTTATGATTTGCTGTGAGCAAGGTTTTGGCTTAGGTGGCCTATGCTTCTCCACGAGGAGCAGCAGGAGTAAGTGATAAAAGTGTGATGAACTTCGCGTAATTTTCGGGTCGATACTAGTAGCCAAGTTGTGATGGCACATTCTACTTCTTTTTCTGAGTAGGATTTCGTAAAAGTCCTGAATATCAAGTGTGAAATAAACCATCAGGTTCTCAATCCACCTTTGTGTGAATAAAAAAAGCCAGTACCTAAACAATAAATTCTAAATGAAAACTGAGTAAGCCACTGATTTACACGCTACTAAACATCACAATATCCGTGAAGAGTAAGCAGGGAGTCTCAAATCTAAATTATTTGCTAACAAAATTTTCAGAATGATACTTAAAATTAGATAGGTAGCATATTTGAACGCTACTTGAACAGTAGCCCCCAAATTAATTAGAAGTGAACTCACTAAATAGTGAATATTCAACCGTCTTCATTTGTGTATTGTAACTGAACAACAAAACAATGCAGTAGTGGCAGAATCTGCACCCAAACGCGCTGGGTACGGCCGAGGGTGGGGAGAGTCAGCTGTCCTTCTCGAAATGCTTTCACATGGCCACGTGCATATAGTCACTGCCACGGACGTCCTACTCACTGGCATCTCACGGCAGAGGTGTTATTTACGAAATTGAGAAAGCGAATGTCCTGCGCTTTAACCAGCTTGGTGGACACGGAGAGTTCACCTAAAGGAGTTAGAAAACCCTGGTTCCAAATTAATGGTGCACATGGGCTTCAGTATCCTGAAGGAATAAATGGTGTATGAATTAATCGTCGGTCATCAGCTACCATGGGACTGAATCTCCTGACGTCGCTCCATTGCCTTGTGGATTAGACCTTTAGGTCGAAGGCTCATGGAGTGGCCCCCTAAGAAAACCACCTGCCTTGATCTGGGCACCCGGGCAGTATCACAGTCCACACACAAATCAAGTGACTTGTGTGGCTCATATGTATTCGGTGCCCCTTGTACCAATATTTATGTGTTCAAATAATAAATATCTTACAAATAATGTAGCCCGAAACCGAGTACATAAACATGTACTCGCCAAATGAGTTACATTGATAACGATTGATAGAAGTCATTCTCGATGCACTTTTGACGCTAAGTGGTTCTGAACAATCAATTTCTAAAACGTACAGCCTAACTTGATAACGGTGTTGCTGTAATACAGTTTACACCATGTACAAACGACACTCGTAGAGTGGTGCCTTACTGGATAAGGCGTTTGACTTTTAGTCACTAGATTCTAGGTTTGAGTCCCGCTCCAACTGTGGTTTGGACAGCCGGCCAGTATCACTAGCACTCACACTTAGAGTATGGCTCATATCCAAGTACCTAAACAATAGGTTAATTGTTATTTTGCTTTCACTGTAAAAGGCAATTACCAAGCTTTAAAAATTATCCATTCCAATGAAATCCATATAACCAGCTGAAGCCTGGAGTTTACAATAAAACCTAAATGAAATTATAAATTCAGATTATAAACTTTCTTGTCAAGAAGCCCTACGGTTGATTATGAGAAAAACTAACACAAACTAATGATGTTAATCTGTACACATATAGTGATGATAATGAAATGAAAACACTTTCGAGTTAAATGTTTATTTCACACTAAATTATGAATATACTCGTGGTTGTTGAATGAAATACCTAATTAACGACTGTGTAAAAGAAACTGAGGTCAAGTCTGACAAAATATAAAATACATTACTGCGATTGTGATCAGATTTAAAATGCAATAAAAAAGTAATAATTGTGATTGCCGGTTTTATTTTCAAACTCACTCGGACGCTAACAGGAGTATTGTCTTTCTCAGAGATAAAATCACGATCGACCACTGTAACAAAATAATCATTTGTTCGGATCCACTGAAGAACTTGTGACATGTACCATTCAGGCTAAATAAAAGTTTGTGGTTAAATGTGTATTTGTAAATGTACCATATCGATTCTGTTTGTCTTCTGAGAGCCACAAAAGTGATAACGAAAACGCTTCTCCATAGGAGCCAGAATAATATGCATTGGAAAGCATACATCTATTAGTAACGGTTTCGATATTAAAATATTTAGATGACTGATGAGGAGTTAAAAGAATACGGCTTAATACTTGTGTAAATTATGAAAACAGAGGGAAATAAAACTATAGATCAATGATTGATGAGTACGCCACACATACAGTTTAGTACTATATTACACAGTAGTTGAAAAAGAATCAAAACACTAGCGTACATTCATGACAAAGAAAAATCATACAAATTAAACCACAGTGAAGGGCATTAAGGTGATTCTCAACAAAAAATTTTAGTTAAGCGTGATCCTGTGGCAATAATGCAGTGTAGTAGGAAACTATAGGATGGACATCAGCTTCTATTCCGAGCCATACCTGATAACGTCTTAAGCCACCTATAAGGCTCCAGCCGAGTCGTGATGGACCAATAAATGCTAGAACCATGCAACCACTTTGTATACTACGAGGTTGCGTCATAAACTGGCCAACTCCACATTTTATGTCCAGTCTAAAAGTCGTCAAATAATAGGCGATGTGGAAGTTGCTAGGATGACATTAGCAAAATATGATCACCCCATTAAAGTCGGTGTCCTAAGATGATGGCATCAACCGAATCAACGTAGTTACGCCAAACACATGGCCGAACGCGATTTTGTCACCGAATATCAGTAATCTTTCGAAAACAATGATTATAAAAAAATAATATGTCGCTATACATCTTCAGATCGGGAGGGACAGGTTTCACAAACATAGGGCAGAACACTCACTGATGCGTTGTAAACCTCACCTTTAGCAGACAGACTAATGGATACCACGGTGGAGCAAGGAGAGTGTTTCCTTCATCAGTAATTATCATCATATTTATGTGTGATCTAATCAAACTGCTACACAGATTTGTCTTCCGGTTTTTTTTGCTTTTTAGTGGAGTTTCAAAACAAATTAAAAGGCCTTCAAATAAGTAGCTTCATTTGAACCTGGAGTAAGTTGTCTTCAGTGTAGCGGCTAACTAGCATAAATGATTCATTTTAAATTGATTTCTTTATTCATGGTACATAGTTTTGGCTTAATGTTAATAGTCTGTTCATGAAAGGATACGAAATATCGAATGTAGAAAGAGCTTGAAAGTCATTGGAAAATAACTGCAAATCGTCATCACACCACGTTTGTAATCCTCCTTCCTCAAGAACTTCAGATACAATAACAGGAAAATTTAGTTTCTTTAGTAAGCACTCAAAATCCCTAGAAATAGCTTTTAATTTATAAATTCTTACGTCATTAAATATAGCAAGGAATCTAAACACGTTTTATGCTGTTGAGATTGTTCCAAAATAGAGGGCAAAATGTCTGGATCAGTCGATAACTGAGTACTAAGGAAGGAAAAATATTGTTTAATTGACTCAATTAGAATGTCCTTGTCATTAATTATTCTAGCAGATAATACACCAGACCTTACAGATAATATATAGATGAAGAGAAGTGAAATTACTCAAGAAATGACAAGTGTTCAGCGAATTCCAAGATCCTCAACTGCTTTGTTAGGGCTTTACATTCTTCTATTACTGGATATGCTACATCGTGCAAGGGGGATACTTTGGGAATTAAGCCCACCATATGTTCTTGATTTTTTGATATTCCCTCAAACAACTTTTCCATACGAACTTTTAGATCTTCAGACGCATGACAAACATGAGAGATCTCACAATTTTCTGAAAGAAAGATCTTTAATAAGATTACAAAGAAAAAGGAAACTACAACTTACTATTTCTTTTAGATGCTCTATTTTGGCTTCGATGTCCTTGATTGCTGACAAAAGTTGTTCTTTGACGTTCCCTGTCGGACGAACGATTTCGTTCAGTCTTTTAGTATATAACTCTAGTGACATTTCTAAAAAGTTAGACAATTTAATGGGATTTGAAACTCAAAGTAAACAAATTTATATGCGAGTCTTAACTAGTTTACAAATATGGTATTGAGTTCAAGCATGACAATTTAACTAAATAGCCATGAAATCAGTTTGAATAAGATAGAGGCAACAACTGAAACAGAATAATGTGGGTTTGTTGTACTCTCAGGGTTTTCATTAGTTGCCTACAACATTACTCGTATTGGAATATAACACTAAATAATGAACAGTAGGGATAGAGTAATTGAAATTATAAAAGTTATCACTGTTATTATAATTATATATATGGAGGATAGGTTTAGAGAAAGTATGGGTGAAACAGTAATTATCTGAAACTCGAAAATTAATGCATTGAATATTAATTATGGGTTTGAAGAATTTACGTTTTTAGAACTGGATAATTTAAAATTATCCTGAGTGAAGGCGAATTTTTGAAATGGGCAAGATAACAACACGACCGTTGCTGCTAACTTGACGCGTTGGTCGGGATCGCCTATCGTGATGAACCAGTCGGGCTATATTGGTTGACCTTGGTGTCCGTCAAGGCTGTCCACTTTCCCCATTTTTGTCCAACTTTATCATAGACATATTGATGGGAATCACGTTCTCGTAGATTGAATTTCCAGGAATTGATCTCCTTCCAGGAGGTCCACTTATCGACTTAGAATATGCAGATGATCTAGTCCTGTTTGGTGAAAACGCTGAAAAAATGCAGAGTTTTGATAGCACTGAACAATAATGCCAGGATGTTTGGCATGAGCTTCTCCTCCTCCAGATACAAGTTGTTGCTTCAGGACTGGCCTCGTTAACACCTGAACTAAGGATAGGGAATAAAGTAGTCGAACGCGTCAATAACTTCACTTATCTTGGAAGTCTGATCAGCCCGAATGGGTTGGTGTTTGACGAAAGCTCTGCACGAATTCAGAAAGCTCGTTTGGCTTTTGCCAACTTATATCACCTATGGAAAAGGCAAAATATCCGTCTATCAATAAAAGACGAGTATACTGCGCGGCAGTTCGTTCCGTTCTACTTTACGACCGCGAAATGTGGCTATAAAGGGTAGAAGATACTCGTAAGCTACTAGTATTTGACCACAAATGCCTTAGAAATATTGCTCAAATCTGCTGGGATCACCAAGTAAATAATAATGAGGTTAGACTCATGGTATTAGGGAATTATGGTAAACCAGTTGATGAGGTTGTAAATCTTCATTGGCTGAGATGGTTGGGCCACGTGTTATGTATGCCTGAATACCGACTACCACGACGCGTAATGCTGACTAGTGTTGGAGACGGTTGGAAGAAAAGTAGGGGTGGCCGAACCAAAACGTGGCATCAGTGCTTGAAGTCACTAACCTCTGGTCTGAGCCATGTTGGTAGATGCAGACTACTTGGTTGGGGTCCGCGTGACCATCGGAATCAATGGTTGGAGACTCTTGGTGACATGGCTCAGAATCGATCACAATGGCGTAGGTGTATACACTCTACTTCTTCCCTTCAACCATGAGATTAAAATCGTCTCATATCTTTCTACGAATTAATTCTTTCTTCCTGTACTATATTCTTATATGCAATCTTTCTTTTTTATATTAATACCATTGAAGTAACTACTATGAATTTGTTTATTTTATTTTATTTTAACACATAGACATTGGTACAGAGAGGCACCAAATACATATGTGCCACACAAATCTCATTCGATATGTGTGAAGGCTGTGATACTGTCCGGGTGCCCAAACCGAAGCAGGTGGTTTTCTTAGGGGGCCACTCCCCGAGCCTTCGACCTGAAGGTCTGATCCACAAGGCAGTGGAGCATCGTAAGGAGATGCAGTCCCATGGAAGCCGGTGACCAACAATTGGTTCATACGCCATTTGTTCCCGCAGGATACTGGAGCCCATGTGCACCATTGATTTGGAATCCGGTTAAAGCGCCGGACATTCGCTTTTCGTCCTCTCATTTTCGTAAACAACACCCCCGCCACGAGAAGGCAGTGAGTAGGACTTACCTGGCAGAGGCTATATACGCGTGGCCATGCGAGAGCATTTCGAGAGGGAGAGCGGACTCTCCCCACTCTCGGTCGTACCAGGGCATTTGGGGGCAATATGAATTTGGTGTTCATCGTGTTGTGCTAATGATGTATGGCAACTTGGACCGATGCATATATGTGCCTGGTCTTACGTTATGGCTGACTGTAATTTGGGGTAAGACAAAAATGGATGCGACTGTGCCATTGCAAACGATTTTGAGCCATGTCATTCAAAGTCTATAACCATTAGCTACGATAATCACACACACGCCAACAAGGTAGTCTACACCTAATAACATGACAAAGTCCAAATGTCAATGACTTCATGGACTGATGCTGTCTTGATTTGGCCGCCCCTGGCTTTCTTCCAGCCTACTGCTACACCTACATACGTAACACATGCTTCAACCATCTCACTTGAAAAATATTTACTACCTCATCAATCGATTTGTCATCGTTACCTAATGCCCTATTCCTAACTCTTACTTACTCCTGTTACTCCCAATGGAGCATAGGCCGCCGACCAGCATTCTCCAACCAATCCTGTCCTGGGCCTTCCTTTCTAGTTGTATCCAAATGTTGTTCATTCTTCTCATCTCTCTCTCCATTTCTTGGCGTAATGTGTTCTTTGGAACTCCTCTTCTCCTTTGGCCTTGAGGATTCCAAGTGATGCCTTTTGACGCAGTTGGGTGCGTTTCTCAATGTATGTCCTATTCACAATCTGTCAACTCCCGAGCAACATGGGTTTCGTAACAAGCGGTCATGCTTGACTAACTTATTGTGAGAGAGGATTGGACAGCAGATTTAGATAACAGTATATCTGTCGATGTGATATTGATAGATTTTCGCAAAGCATTTCACAAGGTTTCACACTTAGGTGTTATGCAGAAGCTCTCGAGCTTCGAGATAACAGGTGCTATACAGGAATGAGTAGGAAACTTCTTATGTGACCGCAGACAGTGAGGGTCAATGGAAGGCTATCCGAATGAACAAAATTCCCTGTGAACCGATCGTATGTTAGCATCAAGCGCTGAAGGTAGAGCCGTAACCTTGAAATCTCTAAGGCGCTTCAGATTGGCTCGTCCATAAATTAGTCTGATGGGCATGAGGTTGGGGCTTATAAGTCAATTCTAGGAAGAGTTTGCTCATGCACATCGAACACGGTTGCGGTTACCATTATACCATTGATGGTACATCTCTTCCACGAGTTCAAGAACATAAAGACTTAGGAGTAATAATAAGTCATAACTTCAAAACAACTACGCATTGCAACGCAGCTACTGTTAAAGGCTTTGTGCGTGATGGTCATTTCGCCGAGCATTCAAATACTTTGACGAGGAAATGTTTCGAATTTTATATCCCACCTATGAAGGATCACACTTAGAGTACTGTGTTCCATCAGCCCGATCAGTGAATATTTTCAAAAAGCTGGACCTTCAATGGATGGCAATTTGTCAGGATAAACACAGGTTCACCAACCTTATTACTGAAGACTGAATAAAAAACTTTCACTGATTTAACTTCACGGTTACATATTCAGAAGTTACGAGTCGCCAAGCAATGTTTGGGACTTGATTTGAGCTTTACTCGATGAATAAATAGATGTCAAAAACGTAGAACTCCATTAGGATTCAAATTCACAAACTTTCAACTGAGATCACTTGCTAAATGTTATACGTGTTATGATATGTCAGTTGTATGGTCATCTAAATGTCACTGAGATCCAGCCATTTTGCAAGTGAAGCCGATATTATGAATGCCGTGGATCACTGTAGTGGTTCGAGTCTATCCAGGTACTTTGTACTAAGGAGGTATGGAGAGTAGCGAGGGGATGAAAGAGAACAAAAATTGGGTGACCGTGCCAGAAAGAGCACACAAAGCACTTAAATTTAACACGGAAAACAACAACAACAATCAGGAATAACACAAGCTTAAAACGATTTTGCGGTGAAACCTAGGAGCAAATATATGTGAAAATTATATTTAAAATAGTCCCGGCGATTGAAATTTAAATAATTCAAACGTTTCGTCCAGCTAACTTGTCAGGACTTCTTCAGGGTAATAGTCAAAATCAAAACAGTTTAACTCACTGTAGTCACTGGGATTCAAATGGCTCGACAAGGTCAAGGGCAAACAACGTGTAATGAACACTCGTTGATATGGCTCGACCTACACTAGTGGCCAAACTTTGTACTGTTTTTATCTTTGTATTGAACCTACAGTATTTTTGATGAGATTTCTTTGGGTGTTTAATAGCATTAAGGGAAAGACTAGCCTGGAGCTAGATTGGAGTTAAGTGAGGGTAGGAGGTCATCGCCTAGTTCAAACATATCTTGAGACCTAATGAAAAGCAGTTTATACAACTGGTCATGAAATTAGTTCCCTCTGTGTTTGAATAAGGTTGTGACAACAGCCGAAACAGGTTTCTGCTAGTTTATCAAGCTTCATATGCAACATAGACCCAAGTCAAGCAATCGCATCATTCCACTAATATTGCTCGAAATTACTGATTCTATCATTTCTATTTATATGAACCAAATCGCCTTTCAGTAAGTGTTGTTATTCTTCGCTCACTATTGTTTAACTTTGCAAATTATTGCTCGTATACAGTGTTTTACTGTACCATGAAATATTATCCTGCTTCAGCTAACTAATTTGATTGGTACAAATAACTAATCAGCTATGGGTAAAATAAGCTATTATGATGCATCAGGAAACACAGTTATGTAGTTATGTAATAAGTTTGTTTAAATGTCGACTATGTATAAATGTAGCTTCATTTAAGGTGAACATGTAGTGGCATTAGAACAAAAACACACAGTCCTCAAAGCTGAACATGAAACTACTCGGAAAAGTTATTCAATATTTAACGCGGATGAATACCTAACAATGGAGAGGGCGCGAACAAGGAATTCGAATAGATTAGAGTTGATCGAATGACATGGCTCGACCATGCTGGCGTGGTCTCTGCGGAGCATTACCTTATATCTTTTATTCATATTAAATATATTGTTCTTTCTCTATCCTAAGCGTGTTCTTCATCATGTATTGGTAGTTGTTACAATGTAGTGAGTTGGTGTATACGATGGTGTGACTCCCACGTAAGATCTTATAGATTGGGCAGTTATATCATGACAAATCTACGATTTTAGGATTAAGTCTATTATTAGAGCAGTACTAATATCATAGTATACCATAATTCTACAAACGCACACTGTTCTGAAAACATTCCGCTTGATAAAACCGAAACTCGGACAGTTGTTGGTTTGAGACTCATCTGCCTGTTTTTTATTTATTCTCGCTGTTATTTTTACTGTGAATTATATTATGCTCTCTTTTCTCAACCAACCACTGCTCAGTTAATTTCTAACTTCTGAATTCTTTCTCACTGAACATAACGAAGGTATTAAGAAAACTTGTGGTGAGTTCGCACTACACAGCCTTAACACTCTTAAGCCACTTTAAGACCCTTGCTTCTGAAAATACCACGTATGTGGTTTGGAATTTTTGGAGTCTGTGCTAAATCAGTGCTCAGTAACTTGCAAATCCTAGAATCAACTTAGTAACAAATAATGATTGCCCTGGCGCCTCTGGAACTTTTACTATGAGGAATGATTAATCATTTTATATTCGCTTCAGTGTATAAAAACAGAGCGAACCAGGCCAGTTTCACAACCGTTTTAAATGATGTACCATGTTTGCAATACCTAATAGCGTTCGGTAGTTAATTTCAAATAAACTAGTCACATTTAGTTTCATAAAGGCACCATAAGTTATGATGGAGATTATTAGTATTCAAGGGATTAATTGAGTAAAATTATACTATGAAAAGGCAGATCGTGTCCACACAAAGCACACAGTCTGGATTTTTTCTAGGTTCAACGCCGTAAGGCGTACTAGAGGTGCAATCATAACCCTAGGTTGTTTACTTTTGTCTAGTCACTAGATGTGCCATCCAAACTGTGTCAGATATCTTATAACTTCCCTGCATTCCTTGTATTATTTAACGTTAGTCATATCATGTACGCTTCCATATGCGCCTGGTTGATATGTGTCTGCCATCCATATTCTAAATAGCTGCTGACAATTTATACATTACCACCTTGTATGAGGACTGACTGACAAATTATTCATTTAGTATGCGCACTCGCTTTCTCTGTTTTTCGTCTGTTATTGTCAGTTTCCATCAATGGATGTTTGGAGTACATGTTTCCCAAAACACTTGCACTTGGCTTGTTTTATGCATTATTTACCAGCGCAGATAAGTTGACGAATATGTATTATTTTAAATAGGTGATGAGCACTAAAACTGTCCCTAATTCATTCAATGATTGATGTTAAAGACTAATTTTCCCCAAGGAGATCTTGTCAGAGCTTAGATTGATTGGTTGGTCAAGAGTTCACCTCAAACAACTAAGCATATATCAAAACAGTATAGTTCAATTATTCATTCACTTCCTTATTTTGTATAGGCGTTATATTTCCTATTATCTTATATTGAATGATGAGAAGCTTTGTTTGTCTGAAAAAATCATCCCATGCTCCACTGTGACTGCGCGAAGATCTAAATAAAGACCTATTCACTACTTGTCTGGTTTCTTCTATCAATACCACGAAGGTTACCTAGAGACACGAAAACCTTCGTAAAATGACTTTTGTTACCTGCACAGCTTTTTAAACTTTATTCACCAAACCTCTGTTTCCGATATGTACCACATATTTTCATGGTGAGCATGAGTAAATTTAGTTTTTGGATTTCCGTTTGCATGTTAAAAAATGCTTTCAGGTTCTTGACAGTGTTTAGTGTCAATAAAGTAGTCGCCCAGTCACCTGTGACGATAAACAACGTAAATTTGATTGCATTGTGTACGTTCGAGGCCGTTGGTGAACTTCTATTGACAATGAGATGACATTGAACCGTCACAATAAGTCACCTTTAAAACTAATGATACATCAACTTAGACGATCACTCTGTCCATCGCCCGCTAGAAGAAAAATTTATTTGGTAACTTTGGCGAAAACCGCATGGCTAGGCCATGCAGACGTGTTCACTACAAATCTCTTTTATTGATATTAAATATATTATTCTAGTACTAGTCCGGATGGATCCAAAAGTTCTGACAACACAATACGGATGACTTTCAGACAACGAAGTGACTTCGATGTGACATTATATGTATCAAAGAGTCCACAATATTAGATCATACCTCGAATTCTAGTGGGATAGACAAGAGGAGTGATGTATATTTTTGACCTTAATTCCACAGCCCCTCGGTTTATATAGGCACTGCCACCTAAACACGCCTGTGCAATTGTCGCAGACGTAAACTGGCACATCTCATGCAAAACGAACCTCTCCGAGTGTCAGCCTAAAAGTCGTTGCTGCCGTCTCCATTGAAAAGTAATGTTCCGTCTAAGGCTGTAGGCAAAGCAAAGAGTAAGTTGCAGCCGAAGACAGACAAAGGAAAGACTTTGAGAAACGTTCATAACAGCGCAGAGCAAAAGGACAACACGAAATAAAAAAGTAAGACATAGTGATCTTCACGAGTAATTACATACATTCGTATTGCAAGATTTACTTGAATCAGGATTACTGAATTCTCCCATATGTACAGTAATTTTATTGGTGAGTCTCTTGTTTAAAACTCTGAAGGCTAGTATATATTTTTACTTTCGTCTTAGGCCTGATGTTTTTATATATCTTTTCCTTTGCATACTTTATATTTTCAAGTTTACTCGTAAACTGACGTTACAATATACACTCCTTGTTGGCTGTAAACATACGACAATAGACAGACGAACGTCAGTTCGTCATAGCCTTCTTACTGCATCGGTGTGTCTATTTTTGATCAGTGGATAGTCACCTACGGATGAATTATTCAGTTTCTATTAACTTTTAATACTTCTTATTGATTAAATATCCTTAGCATCCTTCTGAAGCTGTTCATTGAATCGTAACGTCTGTGAATTATAAACCTTGAAACAGGTTATACCTGAAGAGTTAAGGTTTGGATTGCCGAGTAGAGTAGTATTTGTTCATAAAATCGTAGTTAACAGTGATATCACATGTGGTTGAGTAAAGGCACATTTGGCATATACGATCAAAGGTTTATGTTAATTCCATGATGTTTCCATGCTTTGGGCTTGATGCTCATGAACATTATGGTCCATATACCATCAAAATTTATAGTTACACTAAAACGCGATTGAATATGTTTATTTGAACTTTAACTCCAAAATTTCAACCTATCAGTCAAAGACAATAAATACCATGGGTGACGTTTCGTGACATGTTAACGAATAGTAATCTAGAACAACTGACTAGCTCACTGTGCTACCGCAATAAACCGCTGAATCTGTAATATTATGGTTTATTTCAGTAATAGTACATTTATGTTTACTACCATAATGATAAGCTGTATCCCAATGTTGTTGATTAGTCATGATGTGACGACTAATCTGCCAGATTTTACATGGACATCACTTGCTGGTCTACACTGTTTCGTCCAACACGACGATGAGCAGCATAATATCTAACACTTCTGCAAAACACATTTTGGGCTGGGCTGAGAGTTATATATTTAGTACAAAAATAAGGGTTTGTTTGGGGTAACCATGCCTGCATGGCCGATACATGAAATTTCGCTTTTTGTTGCCGTATCCATCATTGATGGCCCTTTCTAAGTGTTGTATGCTAAAGGTTAATCTCTTCGACAATTACATGCATGGCTTCCAAGATCATGCACTTAGGATTCAACGCCATCACAAATATCTCAAGGATTTGATCAGTAATGAAGCTGCTCCAATAAAATATTGCTCCTAAAAACTCATAGCTATAAAACACTGTTAGCATAGGAGAGCAGGACCATGTTAAATCAAATCAAGGCCAGGCTATTGGAAATTTGTAAACCTTATTTTTGCTAGTCTCATAACTCGTGTTGTACACAAATATCAATGCATTATCCTAAAAACGGTTATTAGGAATGAAAGTCAGGCTGTTAAAAGCTGGGTCTAATTACTACGATATGCACTATACCATCCTTTTCCCCTTTTATAGCGTTATTGCATAATCAAGTGAGAGGTCCAAGATTATGTACTACTGGTTAAACTTCACCTTGAAAATGA